ACCCCCCCCCCAATTTTAAACACATTGACAGAGCAATGTCCTTGTGCAAAGAGCTTCTGATGTGTTAGACAAGGCTACTGTTCCAATGAACAGCACACTTAACTGATAGTAAGCTCTGTAAAATTCAACTTTTGATAATGTCGAGGATTACACTGTGCAACTGCAAGCCTTCTTATTCTTGCCTGTGAGTAAACTCCAAAAGGGGAGGTGGATCATCATTTCTGAGCAAACACACACAAGATTATCCTGTAGTAGTAATGTGACCTTCCAGTAGCATTTGTAAATGTTGTTACATGAAGAATGTTAGTGGTTAAAATGGGGGCAAAGTATGGCATAGGAAAGGTAAATTTTGCCCATCCTACTTGGTTTTTTTATTGTGTACTTATATTTATTAGCGTTAATATTGCCTTTTAGCAATGTAAGATGCCTCTTTATTCTTAGCTCTAAATATTATCTTTTAATAATGTTAACCACAATTGGATACTCATAGTTTTCAACTTTAAATATTGTCTTTCACTGTTGTAAGCTGCCCTGGGTCATTTTCAAGGAGAAAGGTGGGGTTTAAAATATTTAAATAAAATAAATAAAGATTCTAAGTATTATCTGTGAATGATTCTTAATTGTGGGATTCAACCATGTTTACTCAGAAGTTCATCACACTGTATTATAAGAAGGTTTTCTCCCAGGTAAGGGTACACTATGAAAATGAACTAGGAGATGGATCAGGGTTTTTGAAGTTGGTTTAAAATAATGTAGTCACCTGGTTTTTGGGTTGGTATATGCAACCTCTTGGGAGAACTTTAATCCATTTTTAAGCTGTGTTGTTTATCAGTCAAGCGTGCTACATGGACTGTTAAAATTGTTGCGGTTGCAGCCTGTGCCCACCCACTCTTGTGCTGGCTGTCTCTCACAGACACTAGCAGCTACTGTTCTGGTGTTGTTTTTAATATTTTCAATGTTTTGTTTTTTTTTTGCAATCTGGTATAGTGGTAGTTCAGTATGACAAATAGGTTTTCTTGCAGGCCCATGGACACAGACAGACAGACAGACAGACAAATAAGAGGTGGAGAAGTAGAAGGATGGCAGAATCCACTGCCAGGACTGACCAGAGGGAAAACATACCAGTGATTGTAAAGAGAAACTGACCAGAGACATTGACAAGATTCATGGTTTCTAGGTTTCCAAACACACACACACACACACACACACACACACACACACACACACACACACACACACACACACACACACACACACACACAGAGACAGAGACAGAGACAGAGACAGAGACAGAGACAGAGACAGAGACAGAGGGAGAACTTCTCTGTGCATTGTATAGCTCAAATTTAAAAATTTTTAAAAATCAGTTTCAAACATGCTAAACCCTATTCAAAAAAAGATTTTTTTCCTTTGTGTAGCTGAGCCTTTAATCCCTTTCACCTCCACAATCCAGTTACGAGTTTAAATTACTATGCTCCTTTAGGCTTAAATCCAGTACAGTACCTAGTGTGGCATAGTGGAAAAAGTGACAGACTGGCACTCAGAAGGCCTGGGTTCAAATCCCTGCTCAGCCATGGAAACTCACTGGGGGTGAAGTTGGCTCTGACTTGACAACAGCACATGACAGCATGTGTAAACAGACTCTATGAATATAAATAAGCACAAATACATCAATGACTCCAGCCACAGAGACATCTCTACTTCCTTTTTATTTAAAAAAAGTTACTTTAATTCAAAATTAAAGATACTGTAGTTTTTTTTTGCTAAAAGGTGGTTGGACAATGGTAAAGGAGAGATGAGGAGGCATGAGGGTTTATCAAAAGGGAAAAAAGGTGTGATGCAAAGAAGTTTGGGAACCAGTGTAGCAAATGTTTCCTGACAGCCATGGCAGTTTCAAAGAAACCACTGAAAAATATTATCCTGCCAGCCCTGGCTGCCAAGACGTGTGCTCTGCAACAGCTCCAGGCCTAATTTCTTCCTTGAATATGCAATTGTTTCTTTGAGCTGAAAGTATGCCATGTACTATATACATCAAGGGAGGTAGTTGCATGAATGTTATAACAAACTGTATTACAATGACTGTTGCACAGATTTGTTCAGTCACTTTTCACAAATGTTGTGAAAGATAAGTGAAGCTGAAAACTATGCCAGGATACATTTGGAAGCTATGGATTTGTTGCGGTTCTTGTCCCAAAGAAATGTTCATAATCATCAGGTTCATGTATCATCAGGTTCACATTTATTCTGTGGCTCTTGCATGTATAAAAGAATTGATCATGGGTTCTATTACAGTACTTTAATTCTCCAAGGAAAACATGAGCCTGTTGACTGCACTTGCCCAACCCACTTCTGAAATGGTATGTGTGCTGGGGCTGGAACCAGCTCTATCTTTGAAGGAAGATATGATTCTTGGTCTTAGATGACCCTCTAATATGCTTTATGATAATCCTCACAGTTGTCATCATCATATAGTTGTTGTTGTTGTTGTTGTTGTTGTTGTTGTTGTTGTTGTTGTTGTTGTTGTTGTTGTTGTTGTTGTTGTTGTTGTTGTTGTTGTTGTTGTTAATATTATTATTCCAAGAGTTCCCTTCTACTAGGGCCATCCAAGATGGTGTACAATAATTAAATAACAAAGTGAGGTTCACAGGCAAACATTTGGATCTGGAAGAATACTTAGCTAATATTTTTAAACATTGCCAATTCTTAAACACATTAAGACAATTTGCACTGTAGACGCAGGTAGAACTTAGGTTCAACAAACCTACATTGCAACTCTTCTGGTGCTCCAAGGATAGGAAAAGACCATTTCTGTAAAATTTGTCTTCCCTCTATACATCTGATTTGCCTTTATGCATGACACTATTACAGAACTCATGCTGTTACATGCACATTGGTTGAAAAAACGTGACAGAGCAAGCTTTGATTTCATGATGTACAGTTGATAGTGATCCAGCCGGGGCTTTTCCGGTCTCTTTTTGATCCTTTCTGGAGCACTGGCAGGGCCTACTCTTTTTTTTGTTTGTATGATTGAGATCACAGAACTTTCCTGTTTTCAGGCATGTGTAGTCACCTGTTTTGTCTCGAAGCAGTGGTGGGTGTATAGCCTCCAAGTCAGTCTGATGACAGTGTAGAGAAAGGGTACCCCTTCCTTTTCTGTTGTTTCTTTTCTGAAATAAGTTTTTAAAAACAGGGTTTAAGATATGCTCTATGCCAGATCAGCAATGAGCTTGTGTGAAAGGGAGAAACAAGGATAAAGTGATAGCAGCCTGATCTACCCCTTCATTTCCCCTTACTAAATTTTAAAGGAGGAGTATCTGTGTGGGGGAGGAAATCCTCCCTTCTCTTCTTCAAACATAGCATTAGCAGGGAAGCAGAAGCTGAGTAGCTGTTGGTCTCCTCCAAGCAGAGGCAGAGAATCCTGGGCTGGGATGGTGTGCTGCGTGTGTTAACAAAGAGACTTGGGGGAAGTGGGTGCTCCAAAAGCTGAGGTGAAGCTTTGCTGGCCAGTTAGCTGCTTGACAGGTTGACACAGCAGTGGAGGCTGCTGCTGCTCTTGCACCTGAGGTAGATGGGAAGGTGTGAATGGCGAGGGGGGGGGAACAATACTGCTGGAATTCCCTCCTGGAGCTTTCCAGGCAGCTGCTGTGAGAGCTGGTGTGCTTTTGGGGAGGGGCCAAGGATGCTTGTTTTTCTTTGCCAGTGGCTGTGGTGCTTCAGAGCAAACACCTCCTCTTCTTCTGTTGTGCCTGCTCAGACCTCTTTATTTTTCTTATGGTTTTGTCATTTCCAACAACATAAAAAAGAGGGCAAGAGATGCTCTTTCCTAAAGCAGATGAAAATGCAGAGACTATCACTTGCTATCACAGCTGGATTTTTGGGAGAGTTAACCCTTTCCCCCCAGTTTTGCATATGAACAGAAGGATCACTTTAAATAGCTCAATGTACTTCCAAGCAATTCTTCTGAGTCCTAATGAGTTCCCTCCAACCTAAGATAATTTTGCTGTCTAGTTGCCCTTTGTGTGCCTTGTACCCACCTCTGGATTTCTTTCTTATTTTGGCCTTACTTATACAAACCATTCTAAACATTTCCTGCAGTTTAGGGTGAAAACAGCCTGCAGGGAATAACCCCAAGGTCTGCAAAAATAAAAGACCCAAACAGGAAAAAGACCCCCCCCCCGCGAGCCCAATGAGGATTAAGAACTAAGATGGTATAGACAGAATATTGACAGTTGGAAAAGAAAGGCATAAATTGGGCAGGGGATAGTACAATATAGAACAAGACCCACCTACAGAAAGTGGTGGAAAACCTTTAGCCTTCTAAATATTTCAGACTTCCAAGTGTCAAATAATCGCTTATTTTGGCTAGGAATCTGGAGGGGAATTTAAGTCCAAAGCATCTACAGAATCGAAGATCTTGACTCTTGTCCTAGAGAAAAATGGCATAGCTGGTGAAGCACCCTAAACAGAAGCACTGCTGTCAAGAAATGAAGAGGCATGAGACCATTTTGATTGAGGTTCCACTTCCATCTACCCACTCAGTTAATGCGACAACACAGATAATCCAGGGATATCTCTGCATTGTATACATGGCATTTCTTAGGTAGAGCGAGAAGGGAAATATTCCCCTGATAGGCATGTAGCCCAATTCTATCCTCACCAGCCAACATTAAACCAAGAAGCGGGCACCTTTAGCTGCACCCGAGACTTTGTATCGTGTGCACAATGGGAAAACAGTAACAACAACAACAACAACCCACAAACGTGGTTCTATCCTCACCAGCCAACATTAAACCAAAAATCGGGCACCTTTAGCTGCACCTGAGACCTTGCATCGTGTGCACAAGGAAAACAGTAACAACAACAACCCACAAACGTGGAGAGTCCACCGGATTGCCCGTGCCCCGTATTTCCCTTCCTGGCCCTCGGCCTCCTTCAGCTCCCGCCGCCACCTCGCGGCTTGCTCCGTCCTCGTTGCCTAGCAACCGTCCGCGTCCCGCCTGCTGCAGCAAAAAGCGGAGGGCCCGAATGGGGAGCCATGGCCGAAATTCCCAAGCCGAGAGCCCGCTCCCCGTCTTTGCCACCCCCGCAGCCTGCCATTTTCTACGGGCCGGTGGAGGCGGGGAACCCGGTGGTCGAGAATTTCGAGCGGGACCTGCGGGCCTGCCTGAGCTTCTTGCGGCGGAAGTGGGAAGTTGGCGACGGGAGCTCCCGGGAGCAGGAGTTTCATAGGCGAGGGTAAAGCTGGCGGGTGGGGGGGCTGGTGGGGCGAAGGTGCGCTGCTTTTCCGGGGAACCGAAGCCCATCTCTAGGTTTCCCCCTTCCATTTCCTGCAACCGCAGCCTGCAGGGCATTGTCTGCCGACCCTTCCTCCTTTCGGGCTCAAAACCTCTCCTCTGCATCTTAACCCAGAGTTTATTTCTATCAAAAAACACAATTCTGAAAGTATAACGACTGATGTTTGCCTCTCCCCTCCTAAGCAGTGCTTCCGCGCCTTAAACGCCAGGCAGAAATTCATCAGGTGATTTTCTCCCGCCTGTGCATCTCCATGGGGTGCAAAACACTGCTCTCGTTGAATAGTCGCCTTGTTACGTAATTGTGAAAGGCTGAAGAGCTTTGCCAAGGGGGCGGGATGCAATCTGAATTTTATTTATATTCAAATATCAGGCAATTTATTTTTCCTGATTTTTTTCAGTTCAGTGGACTGCATACTTTCTCGTCAGTAGCGAAAAGGAACAAAGATCTGGCTACATTTGTGTGGGCAAACTGACGCTGTTTTCATACGTCTCAATTTTGTCATTTTTAAAAATATATGCAATTCAGTGACAAACAGAATGTGCTTTTTACAATTATATTCTTTACGAGGGTTATATCACAAACAAAAAGGCATTCCTGTGACTTGGAAATATATGTGATAATACGAATGAACACGTGACAGTTTAGCAGAAGATACACACTATATTATTGCTGGGCAGTGTACCCAGTTAGTTTGTTTTGCATACATTAAGTTGATACAAAAATGAAAAAAAAAACCTGTCTTTTTTATCTCTGGCACATGCTACTGCAACATATGACTCACTTGCTTACTTGAGTGGGTTTATTCTTCTGAGTAATTTCATATTGGAAAGGCTTAATATTATGCCACCTTCAGGATTTGGAAAATTATGAAATGTGTTCATGTATGTGCTCCCCCTGTGCATTATGATAGAAGAGGCCTGGTGTTTCCTTGAAGTCAAGTGCATGCCTCTTTCTCTCCTGTAATACTGCTTTTCTTAGTAAATTGCACATGTAACATCTGTGTGAATAAGCTGTCTGTTGTACCATCTGCATCAGGTCCCAGAATGCTTCTCCAGTAATGGGGTGAGGGGGGGGGTTGAGAGGAATTGAAAGCATCTGCCATCTTAAAAAAATGTCTTTTTTATCTCTGGCACATGCTACTGCAACATATGACTCACTTGCTTACTTGAGTGGGTTTATTCTTCTGAGTAATTTCATATTGGAAAGGCTTAATATTATGCCACCTTCAGGATTTGGAAAATTATGAAATGTGTTCATGTATGTGCTCCCCCTGTGCATTATGATAGAAGAGGCCTGGTGTTTCCTTGAAGTCAAGTGCATGCCTCTTTCTCTCCTGTAATACTGCTTTTCTTAGTAAATTGCACATGTAACATCTGTGTGAATAAGCTGTCTGTTGTACCATCTGCATCAGGTCCCAGAATGCTTCTCCAGTAATGGGGTGAGGGGGGGGGTTGAGAGGAATTGAAAGCATCTGCCATGGGCACTTAAAAAAAGACTATGTCTCAAATACTGATGAAAGCTTATTAAGAACTTTATGGCTTTCAGCCAGAAAACCCTCCTTTGATAATTCAGATGCATAGACTTATAATTTAACTGTTTTCCTGAATCTGAAGCATACATTTTTCACTGCTCTCTGCAAGTAATTTATAAAGAATAATTTAATGTAGAGCCCTCATATAAGGCCCCCTATGCATGTTTTAGCTAAATAAATGTCATCAACATTTTTATTTGGTTTCCTAGTTAAGGAAAAAAAGAATGAAAAATCACTTCAGTGGGCAGTTGGACCTTCCTGATGGACATTTGGACCATATCTATTCATAATGCAGGACTGTTCAATTGAGTAAGGCTGATAATAGATATAGGTCAAAATATATAGAGGCCATCAGTTGCTGAGCCCGTCTTGAAGTTCCTTTGTGCATCTAGTTGGTTCACACATCCATTTTATCCATTTTGATCTAAAATACATTTATTTTATTAACAATAATAAAAATTGCAGATGTTACAACAGCTGTTACAAATAAGAAATAATAACATCTACAAGATGGTTCCAAGCCTTCTTGCATATGTGCATCCATGTATTCAGTGATCACCATGTAACCAATGTCTGGAAGTTGAGTCATGGCAACTGGACTTTTTTCTTGTTAGGTTGAAACGTTTCGCCATGAATTGCCATGACTCAGCTTCCAGATAACCATACCTGGATGATTGAGAATCTTCACAGACACATGTAACCAATGATGTTGTCATCAATGATGATGACATTAAGTAAGGGTCCAGGTATTGCAGCTACTTCTGTTGATTGCAACCTAATGTCCAAACCTTGTCATGTAAATTTTGCCAGTGCAAGGGAGAGGATATCATTACACCAGCAGATTGCGACCAGTTAAAGAGTTTGTGCTTTGATCCTAGAGCTAACATGACTCACATCATTCAGCCTCCTTATATGAGAGTTGCACAATCACTGAGATCAAAGTAAGAACTCTTTTAACTCTAATTATCAGTAATGTCTCCTTGCCAGAAATGCCATCTCTCTTATGCCAGCACAATTTGCATAACAGGATTTTGGCCAACGGTTGCTAGAAGGTCTTGGTGATCTTATATCTTTTTGGATGTTTCCACCTATGCATTCACCTTTCTATGACTTTGTTCCTTTCTGCAAAAGGTCTCAGTGCACAGGTGACACTTCCTAGTATCTGTTTGAAAATTGTAACTGGGGCAGAGCAGTGTTTTGCTCCAACTGCAGAACAGGAAATTCCTCAATTGTATTAGCAAAGTGAGAAACGTCCACGCACCAGTACTTGAATAGTGTGCTGGAAAGTAAAACAGGTGGATAAGTTCATTTTTGGGAGAAGAAAAACTTGTAGGTTACAGCTGTTTTGAGTGCTGTTTTTCCTCCCTTTGGACCATGTCATAACAATATTTGTTGAGTGATTAGTATGTTATGACGGTGATGTGAAGTGAAAACTTTAATTGTTTTTAATGTATAATTTATTATGTCTTAATTCTTTTTTTAAAAAAAAAACCTGTGAGCTTCCTCGAGTTCTTTATTGGGAGAAAGATGGTCTGCAAATTAATGAGTTAATGTTCCTTAGACAGCTTATCATTTTCTTCCATTTCTGTTTTATCCTCTGTATCTTTAATAGCTGTATATCTTTTTTCTTTTTGATTTAAGCTATATTTTCTCTTTCTACTCTGCTTTAATCTTTGTGTGCTTTTTTATGATGGCATGTATGTTTTGATTTCAGTTTTGAGCAGTTCTTTTGTTTGTGGTTGTCAAATAAGCTTTATTGATTCTGACATTTTTGTCTTCTAATTTTATTAGTCATTGTTCCAGTCCAGTGAGATTTCCCCATTTTTATCTATAGACTTCATCAAAGAATTATGGAGGATTTGTAAAATGAGCATCTTCCAGTATTTCCCGGAGCTTGAAAGCACTGAAGTCAACATACCAAATAAATAAACATTTTAATGCTTAACTTTAATCCCATTTCAATTTCTGATGTTCAAAAGTTCTAGTCTTTGGGGGTATACAGAATTGTCTTTCTGGCGGGGGTGCCAAGGTACAAAGGGAGAAGAACCACTTTTTCCAAAGCCCTGCTGGGTGCCTGTGGGAATTGGGAGGAAGGAACAGTGTTCTCTTTCTTCTTTCTTCTTTCAGGCTATTGTTGTGTTAATGATTTTTCTCTTGTTGGAACCAGCAGGAGGGAAATTATGTATGCCTGTTCTTGAACTGGTATATTCTTCCATCAGTATGTGTTAATGATAGTGATAGGTCCTTGGAGATCATTATTTCACAAGGTCCCCATAATTCAGAAGCAAGTTGTTGACAAGTAACAGCAACATGCAGTATGTGCCTAGAGATTTGGAATCCTGTAGATCTAGAGCACCTTCTAATCTGGTCACAACATGGCCTTTTCTTTTACTGATGGTAGGGCAAGGAGGTTTCATGGAAAATCCAAGGCCAGGTCTTTCCTTTCCTTAGGGCAGCCCCTCCACCCCTTCTCTGCCCTGAGAGGAGGAGATGCATCTGCCTTACGAGTTGCCCCTCTGGAGATTGTACAATTGCATTTTTTCCCTGCTTCAATGTGATGTTTTAGGAAATTCTAAAAGCAAGCAAACAAACAAACAAACAAACAAACAACAACCAAAGTGCTTCCCCCCCTTTTAAAAAAATATGACTTTATTATCATCTTTCAATCTCTAATTTTCTGCGGTGATTTTTTATTTAGAGTAACTGCTTTGTTCAATATGTGGAACAAGTACAAGCCTCGATTCCCAGACTGGTATTACAATGAAAAACTTGTGGAAGTTGGTGATCAACTTGTGGAAATGAAAGTAAGTGATTATCTGGTGAATCACTGTTAACATCCCCCACCCTGTAACATCAGCACATGTATTTTTCAGACTTTATGCCTGTGTTGATTTGGGTTTTGCTCAATATAACTTATGTCTCAAAAAACTCTGCCAGGGTAGAACTAGACAACATGCAAAATGTATGAGCAAAATCAGTGGTGTTATTTCACTGGATACTACTTCCCCCAGAATTGGTGATCAATCACTTCATTCTACAGCCATTCCTTGCATTATATAAACCTGATTCAGAAAGGGTAAAAACTTTGTGGGTTGAGCTTTTTGCCTCACAGAAGGTCATAACAGGAGGGAGAGGAAAATAGAGCTCCATGCCCAAGGAAGTCAATTCATGAATGAAGCTCATGTTTGTCTCCCAAAGACCAATCAAAAACCAAAATTAAGCTAATTTGGAACATACTAGTTTGGCAAGCCCATATTAGGGTAAATATCTTTTATCTCCTAAGGGAGTTTTGCATCTAATTTATACTAACTGTCTCAACTAGTTACGTGTTGGGTCACAGTATTACTCTAAAGAAAGACAAGACTGGAGATGAATACCTCCTGTTCTAGAACAACTGGATACACTATTTAGAACTGAATGTGGGGGATGGTAAAGGCAAGCCTGTAGATCTGATTTGTGATGAAAAACAATCCATAGGCTTACCTTTACCATCCCTCCCATTCAGGCAGAAATGGTAATACAGTATTAATACATAATATTAAGGTTTGGTTAAATGTTGTGTTACTTGTTTATGCATTATTGATTTTATTGGATTGCACTCTGGTGTAGAGTGGAATATAAATTACTGTATTATTATTATTCAAAACTACTAGGCACAGTCAATCAAGATTATAAAAACATTGACTAGTGTTTCACAACAGAAGTTTATACCAAAAACCTAAGTATCTATTAAATATTGGTGCAGTATATATACTGTTCTAATATGGCCATTTTTGTAGCTATGATGATGTTATTTCTGAAATCTGCAACTGCTTATAATAGTGTGAAATTTCTTGATATTGTTCCCAAACTCTGATGACGATGGGGGCCACTGGGGTATGTTTCATCCACATGGGGGCCACTGAGGTATGTTTCATCCACAGGCGAGAGGGTTTGATTGCCAGATCTCTGTATTTTGTTAATTTTTCTAATTCTTTAACTTCAGCTTTGGCATCTCCTGGAATTGGAATGTCAATGATTCAGACATTTCTTTGTTCTGTTACCACTATGTCTGGTGTGTTATGTTCAAGGTGTCTTATCAGTTTGGACCTTAACTTTTTCATTTTCTGACACCTTCTCTAGAGTTTTTGAGGGATAACTTATATTTTTTGCATAATGACCAGTCCACTAATTTTGCCACTCTATCATTTCTTATTCTTTTTCTCCTCCTCCACCCCTCTTTTTGCTCTGACCTTCTCCTTTTTTGCTCTGGTCTTCCCTTTGGATGTGTGCCCCCCCATCATGCTACATCAAAGATCATCCTTGACCCCAAAAAGTTGTCTGCCCTTATGGTAGGAGAATGGTGATGGTGATGTCTGGGATTCATTAATTGCCATTTATACTTTGACTTGGCCTCAAAAGAGTGTCAAAGCATATTATTGCAAGAGGTTATGCTAATGAACTACTGTAATTTTTAGTGGTGCAAAAAGTTTACATAAACAGATCAAGATTCTGTTTGTGTTTTAGAAACTATATGTCCCCCCCCCCTTTACAAACTTTGTGTCTTGTTTTATTCAGGCATTTATGTAATACTTGCAGTCTCGATGACATAGCTTCATCTTTGAAATTCTTCCGTTTGTAGCCTTACATTTGCACAGGAAGTGGTTGCATTGGAGAGGAAGAGGCAGAGATCTCGGTTTATTGTTTATAGTGGAAAATGAAATAGAGAATCACCAACATCACTATTGCTATTCCCTTTTCTATCTGCATGTTTTTAAAAAAATGTGAAAAAAGACAACTTGTTCAGATATGCAGTTTTTCTCTGATGACATACACGTATTTTACAGTAAAGACAATTTGATCTTTTTTTATCACCACATCCATTCACGTTGGATATAAGCAATCGAAGTCAAGCAGTTGAACAAACCTAGTTGGTTGCAGTTGGAAAGATTTATGTACCTCCTTAAATCTTCACTAAATTATACTACTTAAAAGTTTTTAATTTTGGTTGCTTAATGCAGACAAGTGCTAAAAAATTACAGCTTATTCTGTCTTTTATTTCTGTCCTAGATCATAGTACTCCCCCAGACCCCATTAGTTTGTAGTACTCCCATTCAACATGGTGGGGTGGGGCCTGCTTCTGGATAGATATATGTATATAGAAGTGCACTGTAAATATGCAATATTGTATGCAGTTTCACAGAAAATAATGCAAACATTTGTGCAACAACTTTTTGTTTTGTTTTGTTTCCAGGAGTATAAGCTAGCACTTTCACATTGCTATGAGCGATACCTTCAGCTAATCAGTAGTGTAAATATGGACACACCTGGATTAGATATGCAGCAGTTTAGGTCCAGTTTCTTCCCAAACGGATTTAGAGATCAAAGTGCTGCACGTATGGTAAGAGTATATAATGTGTGTATAGTATATGGATTATGTTATTTAATGTTTTCATGATTTGACAAAATGTTTTCTTGAGGCCATTTTGTACATAACAACTCACAGTAATTTTCTAACAGTTAGTAAAAGAAAATTCATGCATTCTTTATTTTGTACATCTTTTCTATTGTTGGGTTTGTCTGTGTTGGGAAACATAGTAAGTGAAGCAGGTTTTAGAATTTTCTAGAATTGGTTGATTCAACATAGTTGAATCTATGGTAAATGTCCTTTTATTCCAGCCTAACAATTTATTTAAAAATATCGCACTATGAATCATAAATGACTCCTGTGGCTCATTGATTAAACTACAGTATTGCAATCAAGTCTACTTACAACCTAAGTTCAATCACAATGGGTTCAGGTAGCTGACTCAGGGTTGTCTCAACCTTCCATACTTCTGAGGTTGGGAAAATGAGTACCCAGTTCAGTGGTGGGCAAAGTGTTGTTTGCATAATTATGTTATAAACTGCCCAGAGAGTGCTCCAAGCTCTATGGGGCAGTATATAAACAACAATATTTCATCAGCTCCTTACATCAAACAAGTACAAATTGCATGACAGTGTAATCAGTATAGTTACTATACTGCAAGTGAAATGTTGGCATATATGGAAACACCATTATAGAGATCCAAAACCAGGTTCTGCAGATGTCCCATTGAGCCCCTGCTTAGATTAAGCACTGGGCAATAAAATAAGTGGCATATAGGGTGGCAAAGTAGTTAATTATCTCAAAAACTTGGAATCTGATGAAAAGAACAGACAAGCTGATGAGCAGAAAGGGCCAAAGAAATGGGGTGTGTTATGGTGTGGAGTCAGTTTAAAAATAGAACGGTTGGCATATATGGAAACACCATTATAGAGTTTAAAAATAGAACCTAGAGTGTGGAGGCAATGAGTATTGCTAGGAATGGGGCACAGGAGTAAAAAGGGCTGCAAGAAGAAACAAGGAGGATTATTCTATATGTTTATCTCAATTTTCTGATTTCAGCAATTTCTTTTTATTTATCTCAGTTCCATGTCTTGCAAGTGAGGAACACTTGCCTTTACAAAATGGTGTGTGATAATGATTTTGAACTTCTGAATCAGGAATCTATGAAGACATGTTTCAGAATCTTGGCCTCATGGCAACTTATCATGCAGATGACTCTACCACATGAGCACCTGTGTTGGCTTGTTTATAATGGTACGTTGCTAATTCCCAGTATCTAAGTCAGGGATGCTTTTACTGTGAATTTCCTGCATTAGGATAGGTTGGACTAGATTACAGGCACTTCTCAAGCCAACCTCTGTCCCCTCTATGACAATACTGGGTCCTCCGTCTATTATGCCCAGTATCAGATTTGAGAGATGAGCATTCCCATCCATTCTGCATCTGGTACTAATGAAAATTATGAACAGCATGGATCCTGTTGCAACCCCTTCACTTTCCCTGTTAGGACTGTGAATGATCACAGAAACCTCTGTCCCCTCTATGACAATACTGGGTCCTCCGTCTATTATGCCCAGTATCAGATTTGAGAGATGAGCATTCCCATCCATTCTGCATCTGGTACTAATGAAAATTATGAACAGCATGGATCCTGTTGCAACCCCTTCACTTTCCCTGTTAGGACTGTGAATGAGCTGGTCACAGAAACTGATCTATGAGAAATAACAGGAGGATTTCCTTCCAGCCCTGATCACATTACCCATTTGCGGTGTGGGTGAAAGGGGATCTTTTTATTATTTCTCACTTGAAAGGCAAGTATTGTGTGGTGGAGGGATCCCCCAGTGTGACTAGGTGTGGAGTTTCATAGGGAAGGGGTATTCTTGAACCTTGTATGGGCTAGATCCGGAATTTTCATACATTGAATTTGTTGCATGGGGTGAGAAGTTCTGTTTCTCTAATCTACATACAGCCTATTCACAATCATCAGCACAATCCACACACACATACATACAGTATATAGTCACATTTATATGTTATGCATGCTCCTGCACACACACACACATTCTCTCTCTCTCTCTCTCTCTCTCTCTCTCTTCCACGTGAGTTTTGAAAATGATTAATTTGTCATTACAGGTACAATTCATATATACACCATATGCAGACATATGATGACTGTAGGTCAGTCTTCTAAGGTATGGAGAATAACTTGAAACATTTTTCTCTCTCCTAAGACGGGTTGTCAAGATACATTTAATTTCATATAATTTCATATACATAGGTCAGTCTTCTAAGGTATGGAGAATAAATTGAAACATTTTTCTCTCTCCTAAGACTGGTTGTCAAGATACATTTTCTTTTAAAATAGTTATTGTGTATTAGATGCTTTTAGTGTTTGGGGAATTTTATGTGTGTGCATGTGTCTGGTCTCTGGGTGTCTGTGAATTTCGTTGTATGTGTATATACTTACAATGACAAAAAATTATTATTATTATTATTTTCTTTTAAAATAGTTGTTGTGTATTAGATGCTTTGGCTTTCATATTATGTTTTAAAATGTATATTCCTTACTAAAACAATTATGCAATAATTAATAGAAATATAAACCTTGTTTTAAGAGCTAACTGCTATTCCAAATCCTAGGTAGCCACTGTGAAGGGTTGAGAGGGGATGTAAAGTGTTCCTGTATATTCCTGCCAATACTGGCTATATGACACAGTTTATGGGTGTTCAGCAAACATTGTGTTGGGGCTGCATTCCTGGTCTTCAAAGATGGGAAGCTTAGATGAGCAATATGGAAGATATAGACCAAGGACCTGTGTTACACCAGGAAGAGAGGAGGAGCCCAAGACAAATTGCACCATTCCCCCCCCCACCTCTGAGTATTCTTATTCTGGGGCATGGTGGATGTGAATTGGAATTGCATTTTGATTTGTTAGATCCATTTCCCTAGGCTGTGCTAGCCTGCAGCTGATGTTGGTAATTTTTTCTCTTCTTTGATTGCAGTGTGGGAGGGGTGGAAATTAAAAAAAGGAATATGCACCAGGCTGAATCTGATAAAACCACCCCATCTTCTTCCTCTCCTGCACTAGCAGTGCTTGAGATGATGTCATAAATCCAGACCTTACCCATCCCTGACCCTTTCTGGGAGAGTATTATAAACCACAGTGATTGCTTTAGTTTTTTTAGATACAGCCTGATTGCACAAATAGTTTGAGATTTCTGTTGGCTACTTGGATAACCTTGGTTCATGAATTCTTCTGCCCATGTGGCCATTGTCCAACTATTGAACTATGTTAGTTACTGTGGTAAGCTGTTGGAGGTCACTATAGATTTATATGCATGTGATTCAACTTCTGTGAATAACTTAAAATCTCTGTGTTACAATAAATAGTTACTGTATAAACATCTTATTTGTGTGCTCAATTATGAACAATTTTGGCCTTTGTAATTAAACAAATTAAAAGGTGCCAAGAAACAGTTCTATGGCCTGTATAAATAATGTACACTTGAATAATTTACTTTGTAGTCTCATTTTAAAGCTAGTTTTTGTGCTTCTGATGTTTTTTTCCTAATCTAGAAGCTCTGTCTCCAATTGTGAAAATACTTTTAGATTCAGAAATTTTGGTAGGCCCTGATCATACATTTTTCAGACATAGTTTTGCATCCATAGAGCAAATAATTTCTAACAATTATACCAGCTTCAGGGAAATGAGATATCTTTTGTTAATGATAGGACCATTTGGACGTTAGATGTTAATGAGATATCTTTTGTTAATGATAGGACCATGTGGATGTTAGATGTTAATAGGGGTGCCATAAATCAGAAATTACTTGAAGGCAGAAATGAGGCCCAGAAGAAACCTCTGTGCCTTATTTTGATGTCAGTGTCTTTTGTTCCATGAGTCTGTCCAGTGAGTTTGTCAGGAGAGGTCCTCTTTTAATACCCCCATCAACACTGGAGATACATTTCTCACTGCAGCAACCAGGCTGTGGAAATCCGTGTCCCAGAATATTTTGTTTCATCCTTTGTTTCAGAAGGACCTCGTCCTATGTGGATTGCTATACAATTTCTTTTAAAAGTAGTTTAATTTGCTGTGCTATCTGTGGTTTGCACTTTTAATATTATGTGATTGTTTTAACACATAATATTAAAAGTGCAAACCACAGATAGTTGGTGGTCCCTAACACATATAACAAATGAGACAGAAATACAGAATATACCATATTTTAAAAAATAAAGGCCATTGGGGGAAAAGGATGGTAACAGGCAAAATTGTGATCTTAGTCATATTGCTGATGCTTTGGGTTCGTGGTGCACAGATAAAAACTAACATACCTTTTCTGTATACCTGTGATTGGGTTCATTTGGATGTGTTAGCAGTTCCTCAGTTTTGGCAGGAAATAATGACAGAGACTTGTCTGTAATGTTCATAACTTGGGTTTTATTAACTTTCACCCTTTCCACAACAATTTCAACAGGATGGCTCACTTTCCTCCTGCTTTCCTTCACAATACCTAAGCAGATTTGTTTGTTCATTTAATTGCTAAGTTAATGATGAAGAAAAGAATTCTTTCTGTGTGATTATAAAATACATAATTAACAAGAATTGTTTCCCATATGAAAATCATGTATTGCTTGGTAATATAAAAGACTGTTCTACCACATTTCACTTGAGCTGTAGTGCCATCTTGTGATTATTTTTAATAGTGAACTCTTTTAACTTGCATGTGAGTTGCAGAAATGCATAAACTGAATTATACAGTTCTTTGGTAAATTAACAAGGAATCTAGCCATGGAAATAACTCTGCGAAATCTACTAGTGCACAAAAAGTCATGATACGCAAATAATGCCGCAGCATGGGTGTCGTGCCCAGTCCCCTTCCTTCGGTGGCTTGTTGTAGGACTGGTCCGGCCTGATCACCTTCTTGCCTCGAAGGTAAAACGATCACCGTCCATTCTTGGGTCTCATTTACAGTCTCTCCCTCTTTCTTTGGCTCTGGATCTGGGAGCAGTCCCCCAATCTTTAGGTTTGGGAAGTCTCTCAAGAGTCCATGCGTTCTTTCGTAATTCACATCTGCATCTAATCTTTCTATCTCCTCCTTCCTCCTCATCCCTCCTCAAACCGGCTAACAAATCTCCTCTCTCCTTGCTCTTTTATACTTTCTTCCCATACCAACATCTTTAGCTCCTCCCCCTTTCCTTTCTCCCCCTCTTCCACCAGGCACACTTCTATCTTTCCCTTCATTTCATCCTTTAAGATGTCTTTCACCTCTGTTATTCCACTCTCACTGCTTCCCTTTTCCTCTTTAGACGCTTCTATCACTGAGGACGGCTCACTTTCCTCTTGCTTTCCTTCACAATACCTAACCAGATTTGTTTGTTCATTTAATTGCTAAGTTAATGATGAAGAAAAGAATTCTTTCTGTGTGATTATGAAATACATAATTAACAAGAATTGTTTCCCATATGAAAATCATGTATTGCTTGGTAATATAAAAGACTGTTCTACCACATTTCACTTGAGCTGTAGTGCCATCTTGTGATTATTTTTAATAGTGAACTCTTTTAACTTGCCTGTGAGTTGCAGAAATGCATAAACTGAATTATACAGTTCTTTGGTAAATTAACAAGGAATCTAGCCATGGAAATAACTCTGTGAAATCTACTAGTGCACAAAAAGTCATGATACGCAAATAATGCCACAGCATGGGTGTCGTGCCCAGTCCCCTTCCTTCGGTGGCTTGTTGTAGGACTTGTTTCAAATGTCATTTCATTGATTATTTATAAGAAACACTTTTTAGTTATATAAACAGTACTTGATGATTAGATAGTAGACCAACTGCTCAGACCTGGCACATATTCCATCTTTGCAGCCTCAGAGCAAGGCAGTAACCTTGGGTTGGTTCTGCTATAGAGATGTGTGAGGCCCAAGTATAGGCTGAAACCACCTCTGCTTTCCTTTTCTTGCTTTAAACTTGGAAGAAGGAGGCAAAGATGCATGAGCTTGTGTCACTCTGCTTTTGGAGTGAGTACTCAGAGAGCTTAATAAGTGCAAAGAGAAATGCCTCTACTCCCCATCATCAGTTCTGAGCTGGCAGGGGAAGGTGGGGGTCTGTGAATTGGTTCCTGTGCTTGCTAGGTAATCTGAGCCGAAATGTGAGACGGACATGAGCTTTTACACTGGGATTTTCCAAGGCTTGTCTCAGAGATGCAGTGTGAGGAAAAAGACATGATCACACCCTTGGTGATCACAGGTGTTTGTGTGACAAACAACAGCAGTTAAAAATGGTTGACCATGGTAGAATAATCCGATACAAATAATTTTAAACAGATTGATTTTGAATCACTGATGGCTTGGTTTATAACCAGAGTTTATTCTAATAGGTGCTTGAATATTTACTGTGGGCGTGTGCATGTATGGAATCATCAGTTCCACTTTTAGCCTTACATTATTTGACATGGAGAGTCACTCTGTATGCTGCTGTTAGCCAGTGTTACTATGACTGCCAGTGTGACATCTATGGAGAGGTAATAATTTATAATTATATATATATATATTACATATATATACAGTAGTATAAATAAAATAAAAATATAGGGGAGAAATATGAAAGCATATGACTTGCTGCTTCTGCCATTTTTGGTTTCTCCCCTGTAAACATCTGATCTGAAAAGATATATTGCAACTGAATCTGGGCATGACCAGTCCACAGATCTGCTGCATAGTTATGGCTTTCATAAAGATGCTTTTTGTCTATGGATATGTTGTGACAGTAGATCATCTAACTCTTTGACATATTTTCTGCTCTTCTTCTAGCTGCTTTAGTGCTTTCTTCCTCTGTTCAGTCTTCCAACTTCTTTAACTTTCAACATTCTTTCTAATGTGCTTCCAGTTGTATTGTGCTTTGTATCCTGAATTTGACTACAGAATGATAATCTGATAGTGCCATGTTGGTTGTAGAAGAATCTCCCTAGCTGTCTTGCCATTCCTACTTGAAGTCTGACCCTAGGATCAGACTTGTTGTTTGTTTAGCTGTTGTGAACTGCCCAGAGTGGCCCTGGCTGCCAGATGGGTGGTATATAAATCAAATTAATCATCATCATAATCTACTGGGTTCTGAGTGCTTATTTCAATTGAATTTCTAAACGAAGCCTCAAGACGCAGTATTGCCATTTCTTCTTTCCAATATTTGACCCTACCCACAAGAGGACAGCCTCAAAAATATACACTCAGTTTCTACATGTAGTATCCTTACATCACAGATATTTGCACGCCGTGGTTTGATGAAAATAGATGAACTGAAGCAAATCGAAACAATGAGTTCATCACCACTAAGTGTGGAAACAAAGAAAAAATTCAAAGAAGCAACTGTGAAAGTAAGTATATTTAATCAATATTAGAGATGCTAGCAAACCTTTGGGTCTGAGTCCCAAGTCCTAGTCCAAGTCTTTGGTCCCAAGTCCCAAGTTAGAGTCTTTGGTACCAAGTCCTGGGTACCAAGCCCTAATTCTGAGTTCCTATTAAAAACAAGTTTTTTCCACAAGAGAAAATGAAGGGGGTGGGTGGGTTCCAAGTTGCGAACTGAGTCTGAGTCATTGAAAAAAAAAGAGTTGAGTCTCTGGTGTGACTTAAGTCCCACTTGACAATGAGTCCCACCACATTCCATCTATGATAAATACTGTAGTATTTTAAAACATGGACAATTTACTTATTATGTGCTTCTTCTCTTTGGGTTAGATGGCAGCAATGATCTTCAAACGATCAGCATTTGAACCCAGGAGACGACCAAAGGGACTTTTTCGACCAAGGGTGAAAGCTAATCTTAGAGATATACAACATGTAAGTTTTAAGCATTTTGACCTGTCCTGAATACTCTGGATTGTCTATTTAGATGTAATTTGAATAGACTTTAGTGGGTCTCAGTTTACAATTTCAGCCAGAGAAAAATAGAAGCTGGTTAGAGCTTGCAGTATCTGGATTGTCTATTTAGATGTAATTTGAAGAGACTTTAGTGGGTCTCCCTCCTAGGGAAAGAGTTTACAATTTCAGCCTGAGAAAAATAGCAGCTGGTTAGAGCTTGCAGTACCCTAGATAACTCAAGATAGATGGTTTTGCTTCAGTAAAATCTGAATGTCAATTGAGGAATATTTAATTTCTTGGCTAGACTGCCCCTTACAAACTTTGCCCCCTTCTTGAAAAGTGGAGATCTTAAAGAAATACAGTGGTGCCCCACTGGACGATTACCTCATTATATGACGAAATCGCTTCATGATGATGTTTTTGCGATCGCTATTGCAATCACAAAACAATGTTTCAAAGGGCTTTTTTCGCTTGATGATGATCAGTTCCCTGCTCCGGGAACCAATTTTGTGCTTAACGACTATCAGAAAACAGCTGATTGTCAGGTTTTAAAATGGCTGCCCACTGTGCAAAATGGCTCCCTGCTGTGTTTAGGAGGGCTTTTTACCTTTACAGGCACTGGAAAATGGCCGCCCTGTGGAGGATCTTCACTGGACAATGAGTTATTTCGCCCATTAGAATGCATTAACCGATTTTTAATGCATTCTAATGGGTTTTTTACTTTCGCTTGATGACAATTTCATTGTACAGTGATTTTGCTGGAACGGATTATCGTCATCAAGTGAGGCACCACTGTAGTTCCTTGAGCTGTAGCCTAGTGCTCAGTTACTTTTGTCAGGGATCTGTGAGGTCTGTTTTGCTTCAAAGTCTAGTTAGATTCCTCAGGGAAATCTGGTTCAGAAAACACTGTGCCCAGCGAATCTACTTAAAGTGTTTCCATACGTAGCTGGGGCCTACTCTGATTTCGGTCTTTTACAGCACACGTTTTTTATGTTGCCAGTAGCCATTTCACAGTCCAGCTGATTCCCTCAGTCCACCAGTGTCAGTGTTCTGATTGCTGCTGACTGATTTGGATAAAAAAGATACATTTGTGAGCAATTGTGTGATCCTTGTTTAACAGTAAATTGCCCTAAAAGGGGGGGGGATCATTTTAACAGAAAAGGTTATAATTTAAGCTGTATCCCTGAAAGCAAACAACTTCATACCACAGGTCAATCTTCCTCTTACAAACATGGACGTATTGATTCACCCTTCTTGTACTCTAACTACCACCCTAAGCAAACACTAGAGCATAATTCCACTAGCCATCACACTTCTTATATAATGCCTCACTAGTGGTGTGAGGCAGCTGAAATGAAGCATAGATTTGGGCAAAAAATGGTTGTGTTTTTACTAAGCAACTTGAGGTAAAATGTTTTTCTTGTTTTTTTTTTAAGGAAAAAAGACACTGGCTGAAATCTTGTACTGCTACTTATACCTGTGGAAGGGTGATGATGTTACTAGAATGAGACAATATTTGGCTCCCAAGTAATCCTTTTCCTTGGATGGAATATGTGAGAACTGTGAGACAGGAGGAGGAAATCTTTAATTATCCAGCTGCTGTTGGATGATGTAACTAGCACAGGGAGATTTTCAGTAATTAATGACTTCCTCCTTCTGTCCCATAGCTCCCATAGCTTCCATGTGATTAAAAAGAATACATAGTAGTAAAAAGAGCCATGGGTGAGAAGTGGGGAATTTTTAATTACTAAAATTTGCCCCTTGCTAGTCATCACCCCTCCATAGGTATCACACAATAAAATTTCAGCTGCTGTATGAATAAAAGAAGCAAACAGTCCAGAGCTACATGAAACCCTCATATTCACTGTACAGTTTGTTTTCCTATCTTGCTATACAATGTTTGAAATATAATTATATATGGTTTTTTTTTAAATTTAGCTGCCCTGGCCTCGTACAATTACAGAACGGCTGCTGATGGAATTATCTGATTGCAATTCATATCTTTTTTTTATCATACTGGAAGCTCTGTTTGATAAAAATAGAAGGACACTGGTCCCTGGGCCCCCAGTTCCTGATGAAATAGAAGTTCGTGATGTCATTTCTGAACTTTGTTTTGCAGCAACAGATATTCTTGATGGTAATTAGATAAAAATATTATAGGGAGCGGGAGGGAAAGTACGATTGCCTTGTTCTATGAAAATTGGCTGTAGAGGAAGGTTAGTAGTGTGAAGAAAATAAAATGTATGCTTTTAAAGGCTTATTTTTCAAGAACTGGAGGTAATTAAGTTATACTTCTGGACATATCTGGGTATTGCTGTTAACACAGAGAAATTCTCCGCTATGATCTGATAGTGATATATGTTTCTTTTAACAATTAAAACTGTATTAGAGTGGGAGCCTGGTTTGCTTTAAACGAGGTGCTGAGTGGAAGCAAAGGGCTCTGCGTGGAAAAAAAGTAACTGCTATTTTCAGAAGCAGGTGTTGAACTTTAAGATTCTATTGGTGTGATCCTGGAGTTCTTGCCACAGAATAGAACTCAGTTTTTCCAAAGGTATCTTCTTTCTGTCACCACTGTATCTTCAGCCCATCGAAGGCAGAGTTCCACAGGATAAAAAGTGTATGATCCCTGGGCCACTGATGAGTTAGGTGTCTTTCCTCTGCCTATGACAGTCTAAGTTGGGCACCAGATTACAGTTCACATGAGATATATCCAGAAGCTGCAGGGTCTTCCACAGCAAAAGCAACTTCAAGCAGTCTGGATCTGGGGTGGCCATTTTCAACAGTCTGAAGATTGCCATTTCTCACACCTAGGCCTTGAAGATCTCCATTCTCTCCCATCCCTCTGTAAATGCTTTGGCACCAGAACAAGAACAATGCCTGTTTGCTTTATTGCAATTCCTTTAATTCCATATTGGGTAGATAAGGATTAATTCTGATTACTCTACCTATGACTAATTTTGGAAACATTTTACCCACTACAGCAGAGATGAGAATGGAGGATGGAGCTTTAGTCTTGGAGTCCCCAATCCCACAAGAAAGCCTGCTGGTGCCGAATGGAACCATATAGCAGATCCTGGAAATACAGGAAATAACCTTGTTATAGACGTTTCCTTCTTCCCAGATACCAGTCGAAAACATAGTGTCATAGACTAAGGCAGTAGTGTTTCAGGAACTGCAAGGGGTTATCTAGAATAGGTTTTCCCTTTGACTGTTCCAGGTTCCAGTCGCCCCGCTCATCAAAATCCCTTAAAAAGAAGAAAAAACAAGCATTGACCCAATTTTACAGGCTGATTCAGGGTTAAATATAGGTAGGGACACAGGATTTTACCCAGAGGATGAGAGCCAGTCTCCCTGCAGCAGATTCCTTTAGGACGGCCCTCATCTTTCTTCTCTTGATGCCTACTCTATTGACACTTGAGATCTTTACTCTTGTTTTGAGGTTGACTTGAGAACAACAGCTTCAGAGAACAGCAGTAGGAGATGAACTCTGCAAAGGAGTTGTTTTGATGAAAAGAGCTATGTTCTAACAAATAATAAGCTGTTGGAGTGATTTCTCTTGGAGTCGAAATATACTGGGATATTATAGAAAGAGAATTTTAAAAGAAAGAAACGAATGAATATATGCAGAACTATATGAGATTTAAAATGTATTGTAAATCCTATAAACACCGTGTGATATCTAAAAAGTTAGTTCTTTTTAAGGTGGTGGCCTAAGTACACAAGGTAACGCAACAGCAGAAATTTCTTCTGGTGTAATAACGGGATCTTCAACACTCATGCAGCAGATATTGGCAGGTAAATTTATTGTTTTTATGTTCATCTATTCCAAAATATGGTTCATTAAAATGGTAGAATGAGTAATAACTGTATAGATTCCTAAGACAACATTTTTACAGGATATTCAGTTTTACACAGCTGATTTTGATTACATTTTTCCTCTCCAATGTAATGTTCTTGGCGAATATTAAGCTGAATTTACGACAGCCTTATCTGTATTGTTTTATTTTAGAGCTCAGGTGACTGATGTGGCGGACAATTAATTCATCACAGATTATGCCTGTGGTGAACAGATCAGCACAAGCATAGAGTGCAGTTTAAGTCTTGTGCTACTGATAATATTCATACAAAGGAAATGTCCATTTGTGCAATGGGAAAAAAAAGAAGGGTGTGTGGATCATCTTCAGTAGAAGTTCTTAAGTAATGAGGAGCTTGATGCATAATGAGATGAGCTTAACTTTGCACATAATAAACCATTCATTTTGCTGCTTCTCCAGACACACAGGTTTTAACTTACGCTCACTTTTGCAACCTTTAAATAAGTCAGTACAGTGCAAGTGGATTGAATTGCATCATGCATGTGTGGAGAAGCAATTCGATAATAAAAAGTAATAATATATATTAAGGCAGAATAGCATCTGGAAGGCTATTGTTTTTTGTTTATTTATTTGTCTGCTTGATTTATAAACAGCATCTGGCATTCTGGGTGATTTAGAACAAAATAAAAACAGTAATCAATTGATTTATAAACAGCATCTGGCATTCTGGATGATTTAGAACAAAATAAAAACGATAATCATCATTAAATTATAACAGAGTAAACATCAAAATAATGAAAAGAATAAACATATACTAAACATTATAGTATATAATAACATATATAATAACATACAGTATATAGTAACATGATAACGTATATACTATGTACCTCCACTTTTCTGCCTTGAGCTGCCTCTGCTTACTATCAGCTGATGTCTTGAATGAAAACCTTTGAGAGCATGTATATACATAGATATTATGGAACTCAAAACAGTGTTAACAGCTATGCTCTTTAGAGCCCATGTGTGCACTCACACATGCTCAGAGACTACACCCATAAGGGATCTTTGAACTTTGGCAATAGTGAGTCTTGAACTAGATTGGGCTGAGTATACCACACTCACACAGAGCTGTGCATAAGGGGAATTCTATTAAACACTAAAGAATTAACATATTGCACAGGTTCACAATGAAGTATTAAAGCTATGCTCTTTAGAGCCCATGTGTGCACTCACACATGCTCAGAGACTACACCCATAAGGGATCTTTGAACTTTGGCAATAGTGAGTCTTGAACTAGATTGGGCTGAGTATACCACACTCACACAGAGCTGTGCATAAGGGGAATTCTATTAAACACTAAAGAATTAACATATTGCACAGGTTCACAATGAAGTATTAAAAATATGAGAAGAATTAACATATTGCACAGGTTCACAATAAAGTATAACAAATATGAGGAAATACAAGCTCAAAAGAAACAAACTTGCATGGCTGAGAGGGTGCAAAGGCAAGACCTTTCCCAAAAACACATGCATGCACACACAAGAAAGTGGGGGTAGATTGGGGAGCCACCAATGTGTGTAGAAAATATTCCCAGAAGATAGATAAGTGACAAAAGTTACCTCTCCTTAGTCTAGCAGCATTGTCTTGGAGTTATGGAGTGTTGGGACTCCAGCTGTCAGTAGCTGGAAGATTCAGGAGAGATAGATAACCTGAACTCTGAACCTGAACCACTAATATGGCTGTTGGATGTCTTCTTATAGGGTTTCTTTACTGGTGATCTAGTCCCTTATCATAAGTGTCTTGTTTTGCCCTAATCTTAATCTTCTCACTTGGCTAATCCCAAAGACAATGAACCTAGAGTGAGCCATTTACTAAAAAGGAAGAAGATATGCAGACTGTTCTAGGATATTTGCTTTCCAGGAAATCCAGACAATCCTTTTAGCATAGAAACAAAAGTTGATTAATTTCTCTGACCTTCCTAAAAGAAAGCTAACCTGTGAGATGACCCTTTCTGGCTTGGGGCATTCATGTTTTATGTACTCTTGATGGGGGTCATTTAGGCATTCATGTTTTATGTACTCTTGATGGAGGTCATTTAGAGGTATATTGTTTTATTTCCTCTTGGAACCATGGCTCACCTTTAGACCTTTGAGGTGCTTCTTCTCTTCCAGGTATTTATCCTATACTTGTCCTTGACAAGTTTTCCAGTTAAAAACAGTCTGTGGTGTGAATATGGTTAATCACAGGAGAGTCAAAAGTTTCCCAAACATAGTGAGAAGGTGTGCATGTGATAATGTGTGATCGGTCTGTATGAATCTGTTGGCTGCAGATGTGCTGTTCATTAACTAAAATCGTGTTGCTTAGTGTAATAAGTCACAGCTAGCATAGGTGTATGGAATCAATGAACTTTATGGAAGAGTTAACTGACCAAATCCCCTGTAGTTCATTTGCCCTACTCTAGCTGCAACTTACTATGCTAAGCAACAGGATTTCAGGCAATGTGTCTACACACACACAGACACACACACAGAGAGAGATAGAGAGAGAGAGATACTTCAACCATACTGACCAAGGTGTCTAAAATACTAGGTATTGGCAAAAATACTATTGAAATTTGGTATTCTTAATTACTAGAAAAGATACTTATACATCTTTGTCTCAATATAGTATATTGTTTGTCTAATAACTAATCAAGCCGTGCCGCATTTTCGCGCCCTGCCCTCGCTTACCGAGGGCGCGAAAATGGCGGTGCTATGGAAGAAACATTGCTTAACGGTGAGTTTTAAAGCCATAGGAACGCATTGAACGAAGTTCAATGCATTTCTATGGCTTTTTTAGTCCCGTTTAGCGATGTTTTCGCATAGCGAAGGTTAATCCGGAACGGATTAACCTCGCTATGCGAGGCACCACTGTATATTGTTTGTCTAATAACTAATCATGCTGAGAGAAAAATAGGGTAGAAGTTTGGCTATAAGTCCAAAAGCTTTTCAAAGTTTTTAAAAAACTTTTTTTCAGATTTTATTTTAATATGGTTGGAGTGATACTAAAAGAAATTTGAATGGTTGAATCATGTTGGTTCCATAGATGCATATAGTCTTGCACTTTGAAAAAAACAACCTTGAGGTTTCTGTAGCTTCTCTCCTGTCTACCACAACTAGGATGTAATATGGACATAAAATACTTTAAAGAACTAGTCTGTATTTGTCTTTTGCTTCTCCCATTCCTGCTTTTTGTAGGATGAAGAAGGGGTTAGTTTGCACTCAATTTTGTACCCTTTTAATTTTGTTTACATTGGCTTAATAAAATTATTACTATGGGCTTTGGAATCTGGACATTGTTCATTGGTTTATATGACTGCCCCTGTATTCTACATGTGAAGATTGGGATTCTTATATCTTTTGCATTACTGTTATTTTTCATACTGCATTACAGGGAAGAATGGTATTTCTGCATATGCTGCATGGAGGTTTCTGAAGATGGCCTTCAGCTATGAGGAATGGGATGCATTTGATCATGCAACTCTTCTGTTTTTTTCTTTTCTTCAGGTAATCCATTTTCTGATGGTTAAGGTAGAGAATACATACGGAATTTTAGATGGATGTACTCTCAAGTGGTGAAAACTACATTTGGCACTGGAGGTTATTTTACTCAGCTAAATTGTATTTAGAGTGCTTTGTTTTCTAGTTGGTCATTGGAAAGTAAACACACGCTTAATTTGCAAACCTGATTGTTCAGGCACACCACTCTGAGGAAATCCCATTGTAGGAGATACAACAGATTAACTTGAGGAAATGATGCATTCTCCTTCCTGTGAAGTTGGATCCTTGGCTTAAGTACTTTATTTAATTATATATTTTTAATCACAGGTCATGTATGATTTTTAAAATTTCTCTGTATATTTATTAGAGTCAAAATAATCAAGCATGGAAGAAAGCAGAAGCTGAACTCAAAATACTTATAGTAATGCAGCCTCTACTATCTACTAGGAAACCAAGGCATGGTTTGTGTGTTCAAGGAAATAATATCCGAGAAGCAATTGTTTTCCGTAGTCCAGGGAAAAAATCCATTGCGTTTCAAGGTATGTTATAGTTGTTTACAGTTATAAGATGCAATAATTTATTTGAGTTAATGGTTGCATATGGAGTTTTACAGGAAATAGAGAAAGTAAAAATAATATTAGTCTACTGCTTGGCAGTCTACAAAATGTAACTAATACCATTACCTGGTCAATATTTGCTGTGATGTAACAGGTTACAGTGCCTTTGCATGCACTGCTGCTGTAATAGGCCATGTGAAGTTCTACTGCTGCTGCAATGTAAAAGTTTTTTTGTTTTGTTTTGTTGTTTGCTGTGATGTAACAGGTTACAGTGCCTGTACGCTCCCTTTGCATGCACTGCTGCTGTAATAGGCTATGTGAAATTCTTCTGCTGCTGTAATGTAAAAGTTTTTTGTTTTGTTATGTTATTGTTATTTCAAAGGGATAGGCACTTTAGTCGGCAGAAGCAAAGACAACATCGTCATATGACACCTTAAAGACTGGCAAGTTTTGTTTGGCATAAGCTTTCACGTATTGCAGAAGGGTTGTGCCAAACAAAACTTATTACTCCTTAAGGTGTGACAGGCCTGTTAAGTTCTTTTAATGTTACATTTTCCACAAAAAACAACAACAACAAATGTTGTGTTTCAATTGGCATTTTGCCGCACATGAAGTTATCATGCTGACAGAAGTCATTAAACTGATTCTTGTTTTTCTATGCCTCAGTGAGAAAAGTATGTATAAAATGGGGCCTGCATAAAATTAAGGTTAGAGGCCAGGATCCAGTAGTGTATTTCTCTTGGATCCTTTTGCTCCTGCTAGAATCGATAATTCCTTTCACCCCCATTTCCTGCCAACTCCCTTTCATGTGAAAAACCTGCTCCAAAGAGTTGAGAAATTCCCTGGAGTGGGTTTTTTGTTGTCACTGAGCAGGGTTTTAAAAAAGCATTCTAATGACAGAAGTGCCCTGTCAGACCTCCTAAAAAGCCAAGCACAAATCTTCAGGTGGAGTGCTTGCTTTCGTATGTGTTACAGTACGTTCAATAGTATCTGCAGACTTTCAAATCTGATGAAGGCAAAGAAGGGTTAGCTCTGGCCACAAGAGGTTGTTTTAATATGGTTGGGTATTTTGATTTAAAAGCCTCCTAATCCTTGTTGAAATAGTATTAAATGGCAATGTCTGCCTGTAGTTTAAATTCTCAATAAACAGATACACATACCCCGTTTAATTTTTCCCCTGTTACTCCAATTATATGGCTCTCAGTTTCCAATTGCACAAACTTTATTTCAGCTGCACATCTTGTGTCCAACTTCACAGTAACCCCCCCCCCTGAAAATCCAGGTACTGAGAGCTGCAGCAGGAGGGTAAGGAAAAGGAAGTTTCACTTCTACTGGCATTGGGTACAGAAGTACACCATGGGGTCCTGCCTGTTGGATAGTACATACAGTAAATAAAACAGCACATTAGATAAACTGAGAATTCAAATGTAAATTATATTTTAATGGTATTAACTGCTTTTCTTTTTCTTTTCTAAAATAAACAACTGCAGAGGGACCAGTACAAACAGCAAAAACTACTGATGAACTTTTTTTGTTGGCAAGAACTCTTTATTCCTGTGTCTGTACATCTGAGAAGGTATAATAATACTGAGGCAATTTTTGTGGTATGCGTGACATTAGTGTGCTATATAAGAGCAAATCAAAATAAGAGGAAATGCTTTATTAGAAAATGTAAAAATAATAGATAAGTTATATATATTGAGTTTCTTAGGAGGAGACAAGAGTTTGGAAGTGTTAGGATACGATAGGAGCTTTTCGGAAAGAATGGCAGTTACGGATGCTAGCCTTCACATTTCCCCAAACAGTAACCACCCCCACCCCTGTTTAAAGCAAATGGCTAGAGTTAAAGCTATATGTTAACGATCAAGGAAGTTTATACCAAGTTTATATCCATCCCCCCCTCGCCACTGCATCCTCACTTAGGACATGGGCACTCTAAAACCTCTTCCTTATATCTTAGCTTCAGCCTTAAGTAAATATTGTGCCATAATCTCACTAGCTCACTCCCATCCCTGATCCCTATGTAGTACATATGTACTGTAATGGTGTGGAGGATCTGAAATGAAGCACAGATTTTGAATGGCAAATTTGCATATGTTCCTGGCCACATGGCTATGCTGATTCTTCCAGAGAAGGCACTTCTGTTCTTTCAAATGGCCCATACACAACATTAGAATTTTCTCGAAAGAAGTGTGTTTGGTCACTGGAAAAAAAGAAAGAAAAAACGGGGAAAAAACGGATTGTTTTTCTATTAAATTACAAATGTTTTCATTTTGCAGTTAAAATTCGTAGTCTCCAATTAATCGTCCAAAGGAGGAGAAAAGAAAACAGATGTTGAAGAATCATAACTGTTTTTAAATTATTTCTTTGTTACAGTGGAAAAGACTTCTTTGGAAGGGCCAATGATACTATGACTTCCCATGCCAGGCTTTCAGCGCTATAGGAAGAGACAGTAGTAGTATTTTAGAAATTTAATTGGACAGTGTCCCCATATCAAGTGGTGTCAGACCAGTGTGAGCGATGTAGCTATGCAAAAGTTATAGCCGTTGAAGTAAAAACAGGGAGCAGGTATTTTAAGAAAATTAATGTGTTTAAATATAAATATAAACTCATTTGAGTAATTATAAGCCAATTTAACTGCATCTGTTTACAAAATTCTTAAAAAACACTTCTAACTCAGGTTTACTTGCCGGACAAAGAAATGATAATAGATGCCTTGATGTTTTTGTGGCAAAGATGTAAGGTGGGAATTCAGAGGATCCAAATGAGTGGAAGCAACTTCTTAAAGTTTGTTCATAAATACCAAACACCCAAGGTAATCCTTTATGATAAATGTAAATTTATTTGAGTTATACTCTGTATCATGCACTTATCCATCTTTTGATGCTAGTGCCATTGGTTACGATGTTGATAATCGGCATTGATAATACTGCATCTGCACAATATAAACAAGTTTTACTTCTGGCAAACTAGACACTTTCTTTAAGGGAGATTAAATGTCAGCTGATCTGTAGCAGAAGAAGTAGAAGTTGAAGGGATATATATGTATGCAGGACGGGAAGCTGAGGGTAAGAAGCCATAGGAATAAGAAGCAGAGGAGCACCAGATTTCTCCAAGGAAGAGTCACTTGGTCAATATTGGCCTTGAGAAGGAAGAAAGATGAAACTGTTTCCTTACAACATCCCCTTGCGTTTTCTAGGGGACCTCACCCCCTATTTTTTTAATTTTATTTTTAAATTTCCAAAACAAAAACAAATACAAAATTACAAAATACTTACTAATACAGTCTAAACCATAGTACTCTCCCATATCCACAGAACCCTTTGGAACAATACCTTTCCAAAATTGTATTGATTGTTGTTTATTTCCTTTATATAATTTCTGATAAAATTCTTGAAAATTTTTCACTTTAATTATATTACACCTCTTACCTGTTCTATCTTTAATTACCCCAATCATGTTTTTAATCTATTTTTGCACATTCTAGCTAATAATTTAGAATTTTTATTGCTAAATTTAAAAAAATCCTCCTTATATACATCAAATCCCTCTGGATTTCCTCTATCTCCAAGTTTTCTAGTTCCTTTCTCTTTGCATAGAATTTCTCCCAATATCCTTCTATCTCTTTCTAAAAAAACCTTGCTTTCTAAATTTCTCAAGTCTTCCTCCAGTTTTTCCCCGTTTTTCTCCTTAATTTTTTTCAGTTTACAAGATTCCCTTATTTTTATTCCTCTTGAAATTGCTTTCATCATGTTCCTATTTTTTTTTCCTGCAAACATATTTTTAGCCAACATTTTTGCTTCTGTTCTCTGGTGGCCTCCAAAATAATTTTCTAAAAATAAATTTTCTTGTGGGATGTTGGGACCCCTTCCGGATTACCAGGGCCCTGGGACATAACAAAGTTTCTGCGGGCTCCCACTAGAGAACACAAGTTGAATTTTCTGAGCACGTCAGTATTTTGGAAGGCATGTTGGGGGATTGCAGTTGGGGGTTGTATGCAGCCTTCAGGATGGTCGTTTTCCACCTGTCATGTGGAATATAGCTTTTTGATTGAGACTGTATTGCTCTTGATTGCCTGTGGCTGGGGAAGTAATGCATAGGCAGGTTTGACTTTAAGATACTGAGGCTGATGGAAAGTTTTGATCTATACTTAAGAATCTTGTTTTATTTTTGTCTTCTTCAGTGGATTCATACACTTTATGCAATTAATGAAATAATTCACACCATTCATCTTGGAGGCATAAATGCTGTAGTAATGGCTGAAGTCTCATTAAGGCTAACATCGGTGATAGAGAATATTGCAGAATTTACAATCAAATCTGGAAGTACAAGAGGTATACTCTTGCTTACGATGTCTATTTTGGTGGGCTATGATTATGGAGATATATAATAATCATGTTTATTTTTATAAAACATTCTAGGAATATAAAATGTTATGAAAGAACATATTAAAGAATGCTCACTGTTTGTTCTTTCACGTTAATGTAGAAGACAAATCATAAATTTGTACAGAAATGTATATTATTAACATATAGTGGTATGTATGATTAAGGCAGGTCAGTGGTATGGTTCTGCTCTTATGATAATTAATGTGGGCATATTAGCCAATGTATTTCTAGAAGCAAAGTTTATACAGTGTGTTTTCTGTTTATGTAATGTGTTTAATGCAATGCTTCCTTCTGATTTGTTTCCCCTCCTCTATTTAGTATTCCTGTCAGCAAATGAATCTCTGCTGGCTTCAGAGTACGCTATTGGTGATATGCCTTTATTACTACAGGTATAGTTTTCTTTTTCACCAGATGAACATTTTCAATATTCTAGCAAACATAGGGTTAACAGAATGTAAGCAACATACAAGGAAAATCAATCTGAAACTATTGAAAGTCACCAGATTTGTTACTGCACAGCAGCAAAACAAAATATATTCCCATAGGAGATAAAAATAGTTTGCAAAACCCCTCATGCTGGCATAGTTCATATTAAAGGCCAACCTAAAACAACAAGGTCAACAGTAATAACAATAACTTAGTTTACTCCCTTCACCAATTTCCCCCTTTTCTTCCTTCAAAAGTAAATGATCGGGCTACCAGCAGCAACATTTCAGGTCTTCAGTGACCATGGTGCTACAGCAACTAAAAGGAGGGAGGGACCGTTTCTCTCTTCCTCCCTCTGGTGTCTGGAATTCTCCATATTAACATGACAGGTCTCTGTTACTTTGGGGAGTTTTTGGATTGGCTGAAAAGTTTTAACATGAATTTTTTTCATGTTAAAAGCAATTTATTAGTTTATTATTATTATTTGTTTGTTTCTTAGACTTCTATACCGCCTGATTAGTGCAAAGCACTATTCTGGGTGGTTAACAATCAATCAATCAATCAATCAATCAATCAATCAATCAATCAATCAATCAATCAATCAATCAATCAATCAATCAATCAATCAATAAATAAATAAATAAATAAATAAATAAGGTCAAAAGCAAGAGTATAATAACAAATCAAACAACAACAATGATAATAAAGATTACAGGAATCAAATCATTATAAGGCAAAGGAACCAAGAACATCAAACCATAATTGAACCGGCAGGACAAACAGGCTGGCTCATATGACAATGCCATAAAAAACTTCTGCAAAGCGTATCAGCTTGAGCAACCTCTTAAAGGCAGGCAGGGTGAGGCCAGATGCAGCTTCACTGGCATCCCATTCCACAACCAAGAAGGACAGATGTCTGGTGGGTGTTTTTCTGGCTTTTCTTGGTGTGCCTTGTCCAGGAAAGCTCACATTAAAATATAGCTGTTAGTTTTCAAGGTGTCACAATGTTTTGTTTTCTTTTTCTTTCATTTTTGCCGATATCACAACTGTCAGATTTTCTGAGGGGAATTCAGAACTCCAAAATTGGTAAAAACTGTCTGGTTCTGATTTTCAGAACCAAGAAACACTTGGGGGTTTGCTATGGTAGAAAAACATTTATGAAGTTGCAGTTTAAAATTAAATTAATAGTTGCCAGCATATCCATGTCCAAGCACGTTATGTCACAAAGGAATTGCCAATTGTTTTGAATACAGTCCCAGAAAAGTAAACACACGGACATACACACATACACACTCTGCTCTAGAGACGAAATGTGGGCCAATAACATAACATTGCTTGCGATTGATTCTACCAGTAGATCGCAGATACCCTGTTTTGATAACATATGTTTCAATAAGCAAGGCTAATAAGGTGCATTATTTTAAACAATCATTTGCATTGTGAATTTGATGGGTTACAACATTCTTGCCACATTATAATTTTCAAAATAATTTTTACATGGTAAAATTGATTCTTGTGCTTCAGCATTAAGTACAACATGATATGCATGTGGAAAAAAATAATTTAATAATTCACGAAAGCACACTATTTTATTTATAACATTTAGTTTTAATTGTAGAATCATTGGCATTTGTTATATGTGAAGAAGCAGCCAAATATATTTTAAAGAGAAAAGGAAAGTTAGTTAAGTAAAATAAATGATCATAATTGTGCAGTTGACTTGTCAAGACTATATTTTTTCAGCTAATTATGTATTTTTTTTAAATTGAGGAACCACTCACTCACCAAAAGACTGCCTGCATGCTGGTTGAAGAAGCTTTTGATGTAGATACGATATTTCTTATGCAGCAAAACCAGCAATGAGTCCTGTAGCAGTTTATAGCTAACAAGATTTTTTCTGACAATGGCTGAAATCCAGCAGTAAGTGGCTACTAGAGTTAGGCCCATTGAATCATTAGAGATCTGATATGTTGACTCCTCTGTAAGGTCCAATGATTCAGGCCTACCCTAGTTGCAACATACTACTGGATTTCATATATAGTCTATAGAACATATTTTTTAAAATTTATTTATTTATTTATTTACCCTGCCTTTCTCCTTAGAAAAGGACCTAAGGTGGCTTCCAGCATTAAAAGACAGTATTTAAAAACAAAACAACGAGTATACAAAAGTAGCATACATCATTAAAAGGCAACAATTAAAGCTAAAAACACTAAGTACAGAAATATTAAAAAGGAACAAACAAAACACTCCTCTTAGAAATAGGAAACACAAACAATACTAAAAATACAGTCAAAGTAGTGATGCATAACAATCCACCTAAAAAGACAATGATCAGGGAGCCAGTCATTGAGGGAAAGCTTGCCTGAACAGAAAGGTCTTCACTTGCTTGTGGAAGTAGAACAAAGATGAGGTCAGCCTAGCCTCCTGTGGGAGGGAGTTTGAAAGTCTTTGAGAAGCAACAGAGAAGGCCCTGTCTTGTGTCCCCATCAAACACACCTTTGAAGGTGGTGGGACTAAGAGAAAGGCCTCCCCTGATGATCTTAGTGCCAGAGGAGGTTCATAATACAAGGCACAGTCTTTGAAGTAGCTTGGTAGCAAGCCATTTGCGGCTTTATAAGTTAAGCTTCTTCAACATATATATGTCTTATGTTCCCATCATGTAAGTGTTGTCTTAGGTGCATTGAAGAGAATGTCAATGTATTTAAGCACACTCCTAATGTGTAAGCTGATGTAGAAGCTGCAGTATTTTCTCTAACCCACTTACTAGTTCAGGGGACCATGCACATATTAGAATTCTAATTTGCAACATTATCTGTATGTCTTACATTTATTACCTGCATTGATAGTTCTTTGGTTGTTTTCTCATTCTTTCTCTTTGAGCACATCCTAAGCTATACCTTTAAAAGAGGCTTTAAGTCACTGAAATGCTAGGAATTCAAGGACTGAAATAAATAAATTCATTTTCAATTTGATCTGGTCTGATTGAATGCGTTGACTCTTTTAGAAATCTCCTCCAGAATTACTATATTTGGCTTATGAGTATTTGGACAGAGCAATCAATGCAATGAACCGAGCTTGCCTTGTAACTGGTTCCCTTGATGGAACATCAGTGCTTGATAACTGCTGCAGAAAGGTAAGGGGTTCTGCAAGTAAGAAAACAGAGAGCAACACTCTCCTTTTCTCTAGCTGATAAGAACTTTTTCTTGACCATCTTTGCTTCCAGCTGTCACCCCGTTCTCTTTCTTGTTTTCCATCACTAAACTGATTACACAGGTGCCATGCATATTTCACTGCTTGAGCACTTTTCAAATAAGTTTTTGATATTTCGAATGAACTTGTTCAGCCCTTATTTTTACTTACTTGCCTGTTGCGCTTCTGTAGTTCTTATCTCTCTCAAATGATTTTCTCCTCAGCTCGCCATTATGGGAGAAAAGAAAATGTGGTTAAGTTGCCAAATGGGGAGCTCTGTTGCTGCCTTACTTTATGACCCCTGGGGGAAAAGAATGCTGGACCAAGTGGACTTTACTGTTTTCTATAAAACTATATTGGTTTCAATGGAACAAATATAATATATATTTGTAAAGGATCTTGAATAGTCTCACTGAAAAATAATGCATAAAATGCTTAAACTTTTATCTTCCTTAATTCTCTTTTATCAGATGATTGTTAATGACCTGAATATGTCTTTATCATCTGACACCAGTGAGAAATCAATGACAGGAAACCTTTTGATTATGGATTTGCACATTGATCTTATTCAGGGTCAGCATCGAGTTGCTGTTAAACTGCTTAACTTGGGACAAGGTAAGATCATATAAAACTGATGCTGTTTAGTTATATTTTTGCTTGGGAGATCTCATACACGAGGGCCATCCCAACTGATTATGTCATCAAATGCCATGCATTATAATTTAAAACTGCTCAGTGATCAGTCATATTTTGCAGTGGACCCACATTATGTCAGTCAATTATGCCTGTACTGTGCATATTCAGTCTTGTAACAAAGTAGCTGTTTTTCTCTTTTGATAGGCGTTTTCTGAGATTCAGTATTTCAGCCTCTGAAACCTGGGTTCTTGCCAAATTAAAAAAAAAGTGAGTTGTAACAAAGTAGCTGTTTTTCTCTTTTGAAAGGCCTTTTCTGAGATTCAGTATTTCTTTCATGATAAGCAAGACTGATATTTTAATTTTATGTGAAAATGTTTTATTTGGGGTGCCCCCATTGATAGAATTGCCTTACAGAATGTAGATTTGCTGTGGCAGCACAAGATCAATGCTGCAGTCTTGTCTGGCAATGATGACTTTATGCTTTATATTGTTTTAAGCAGATAGTATCTTTGCTGTGATATACAGTGTGCTTATGTTTTGCAGATGTTCATGCTAGTGGCAAGAGTATGCAAGGCAAGAATCCTGCAAAAGATATAAGCCATTCAAAATATTTAACAGGTAATGCATGCTAATATTGACTTGTAAAAAGAGTTTATGGAAATTCCATCATTTATATGGTAATTTTGCCAGGGACGTGGTGGCACTGTGGGCTAAACCGCAGAAGCCTGTGCTGCAGGGTCAGAAGACCAGCAGTTGTAAGTTCGAATCCACGTGACGGAGTGAGCGTCTGTCGCCTGTCCCAGCTCCCGCCAACCTAGCGGTTCGAAAGCATGCAAATGCGAGTAGATAAATAGGGACCACCTTGGTGGGAAGGTAAACAGCGTTCCGTGTCTAAATCACACTGGCCATGTGACCACGGAAAGATTGTCTTCGGACAAATGCTGGCTCTATGGCTTGAAGAGCGGGATGAGCGCCGCCCCCTAGAGGCGGACACGACTGGACAAAAATTGTCAAGGGGAACCTTTACCTTTTTACCTTTATATAGTAATTTATTACTTTGCTTTAAAACATTGTTTTACAGAGCCAGATATAATGAATAAAGTAAAAAGGAATCGATTGTCCAAAGCTCTCTACCTGATGCAGAAGGCTACACTGATGCTTCCAGCAGGATTAGGTAGTGCTTCCCCAAGCCAGCTCCTTGAGGTATCTAAATTATACTCAAATAAATGTAGGTCCTAATAGTAGATACAATATTCTTTTTCTTTTTCTTTTTGTCATTTTTTGACATTCTTTGTTTTTGAAGCAGCACTCCACTAAACACAAATTCTGGGCAGGCCTTAGATATATTTTAAAATGTGATTTCTGAAATTTCAAAGCCTTTTCTCAAAACAATCAATCCAAACAGTGTGATTCTGTTTTGGTCAACCAATGACAGTGATTTAGATAGTGGGAAGTGAAGTGTATGCCCTGCTGTTCTCTACCCACTTGCCTGTAAGTAAGTCTCAGTAAATTCTAAACAGAGGTGAAGATATTTATTTATTTTTATGTAATTGTAAGGTACCTGTGGTTGCTGCAAAAATAACCATGCCTTTTATGGCACTTTATTTGGCAGTGGTTAAATTGCAGTTAAGCCTCTGCTCATGACTTTAGTTTGATCCCAATGGGTTTAGATAGTTGACTGAATCTTCCATCCTTCCAGGGTTGGTAAAATAAGTACACATCTTTCACATGGGCAAAGTGTCAAAGTGTTCCTTGCATAATTATGTTGTAAACTGATCAGAGAGTTCTCTAGCATTATGGGGCAGTATATAAGTCAAAACAATAATAAGTGTTTGTGGACTGTGGTTCACTTTTTCAAGTGCATAGCGATATAAAACTATCTCCTTCTTGAGGTTCCACTCCCTGTATCTGAAATGCGACACCATCCACAAACATATATGCCAGACTTGTTAGCCTTTAAGATGCCTGATGACTCTAGGGCTATTCAGACAAACTGAAGTTGTGTACATGTTAATAAAGTGCAAACTTTTGTAAGAAGGGGAAAATTTATTCCAAGCCCAGGAAGAAAAATCAGTGGGTACATTAGAATTGTTAAATTGTTTGTTAAATACTAGCAACAGGTAATAATGACAGGCATAATACTCTTTCCATTGTGTCATATTAATCTTCAAGCCTATCATTCTGTGATTTTCCATTTATAACTCCTTGTTTTTGTTTGAAGCATAGGTAAACCAAATGACATTTTCTTTGGCTTTATCATTAAACCACAGGAAGCACTTGTTTTAATTCAGAAAACAGAAGCAGAACAAAATGCATTATGTGCCACTTTTCTACAACCAGCAAGTAATGTGAAAAGCAAAGTTCCACCTCCTCCTATATTGCTTTTCAGATCACATTGTTCCATGGTATTCAAGCCTGCTCCATTTGTTTCAGATATAAAGGTAATGTTTTTGAGCGTATCTGCATAATTTTACTAAACCATGGCCAAAATCTTATTGCATAGACCGCGCTGGTGTAAAAGAACTGGTCTAGACTTCAGTGGCAGATTGTCACTAATTAAAGAATCCCTGCTTTGAGTTCTCGTTGCTTAATCTTGTTTGTGAGTTGGGTGTCTTCATGCCCAACATGAAACTGGAGATTCTTTAATTAGTGACCTAAAGAATCCTAACTTTGATCCAGGGTTGCATGTGAAATGACATATACAGTGAAGTTTAGTTTAAGCAATGAAAAACTGAAGTTGGTTTTCTTTAATTAGCAGCAGTCTGCTGTAGCAGGTTTTTTTATTTCCCTTTTGCTGGCATAATTTACATAAAGGCATTTTAGTCTATCAACAGGATGCATATACAGTGGTGCCTCAACTTACGACCATAATCCATTCCAGAAGATAGATGTAACTTGAAATGGTCGTAAGTGGAAGCACCATTTCCCATAGGAATGCATTGAAATGCAATTAATCTGTTCCGGCCAAAGAAAAAAATCACCCCCCCCCCAAAAAAAAACACTGCAAGACTCATTGGAAACGCAATTAATCCCTTCCGGCAAAAGGGTACAGTGGTGCCTCACTTAACGACGATAATCCGTTCCAGGAAAATCACCGTTAAGCGAAAACATTCTAAAGCGAAATAAAAAACCCCACTGAAATGCATTGAAACCCGTTCAATGCGTTCCAATGGCGTAAAAACTCACCGTCCAGTGAAGAGCCTCCATACGGCGGCCATTTTTGCTGCCTGTATAGCGAGGAATCCGTCCCTAAACACAGCAGGGAGCCATTTTAATTACCCGGTGGCCATTTTGAAGCCGCCAATCAACTGTTCTAAAAACATCGTTTTGCGAAGAATCGGTTCCCGAAGCAGGGAACCAATCATCGCAAAGCGAAATTCCCCCATTTAGACCATCGTTTTGCGATTGCAATTGCGATCGCAAAAAGATTGTTGTGAAGCGGATTTGTCGTAATGCAGGGCAATCGTAAAGCGAGGGACCACTGTAATGGGGTGGCAGTCCTCCAACATCTGAAAGGCCACTTGACAGCCCCTGATGTAGAAGGATGCTAAACAATTGATCCTTATAAGTCACTGTTTTTAGCATTATGTATTTACTGGAAAGTATGCTTAAGACTGTAGCTTTAGTGATGTTATAGGACTCATATATTGCTCTTGTCTTTTTCTTTTAAAAGGTTTCTTGGTACAGTATTTTTGGATGTGTAGCAGAAGGATGCAATCCAAAAGTCCGGTTAAATAACTACAATCTTAAGAACACAGGAATAGTGGTAAGGATTTCTATAATAGTACTTCTCTGCTCATTTATTTAGGAATAGAATTAGAAGATACTTGTGCTTTTTCTTGTGTTAGGTACAGCTGGTATTGTACTCTTTCTTTCCATATTATACCAGTTTGCATTCCTAGTAATTTGCCTTACACCCATAATACTGGTATTTTTTGTAATGTCTGCATGATGCAGGGCTGAAACAGATGTCACCAGAATCCAAATGGATAGGACTCACCTTAGTTTCCTTGGGTTTTTAACACCATTGCAAAGTGATGGTGTGTTCCTGTTTTACTTTTCTCCAGTTTGCTTCAGTGTATGTGAACCCTTGCTTGTTGTTCATCCATACATTTTGTGGGTGTGTACTTAAATGACTTGGGTCCAAGCTATCTAAAAGACTGTATCTCTCTATGAGCCTGCCCTGGTATTAAGATAATCAGGGCAGGCCTTTCCCTCAGTCCCATCACCCTCACGGACATGCTTTGTGAGGACATGGGAGGCGGCCTTCTCTGTTGTGGCTCCCAGACTCTGGAACTCCTCACTGGAAGCCAGGCTGGCCCCATCTTTCTTTCCCTTCCACAAGCAGACAAGGTCCTTAGTGACTGGCTGTCGGAGAGGATTTTTTAAAAAATGGAATGTTGTGCTCTGTTGCCTAGGAATGTTTATTATGTTTTCTTAACATGCACCAATATTTCCTATTTCCTTTTTATTTCTGCCAATTGCCTGTACACATTTTACTGCCCAGGACTGTTGTTTCTGTTTGAAAGCAAGCATCTATTAAACAATGCAGCATAAAATCTCAAAATCAAAATATTGAAATAAATGAATTGGTATAAATGTGAAGGTTTGAGAAGAGTGGTTAGGTGAAACAAAACGGGAGGGAGAAGAATGAAGTGAGGAAGGAGAAGACAGGTGAAGCTGTAAAGGAGGAAGCTGAGCTGTAAAGGAGCAATCCAGATGTATAGGGACAAGCAGTATGGTGCAACCCAGTACATCCCAGAATACGCAGGAATACATGCACTCATCATAGGTGGATGGAGATATTGGGATGATCTGTTTAAATCTGCAACAAGAATTATCAAAATGACCAACAACAACCCTACAACAACCAGGGACAACATCATATACTAAGGACAACATCTAAAATAGATAGTTTACACAGATTCTTGTAGGTATTTTATGATTGGCTTTTAACTTACGCTCTGTAATTATAATGTCAAACATTGTACTTATGAATATTTTGCAGCACAGTTCTTTATTTTTGAGGTCTGTTTGGTGTAATTTATTTATTTATTTTAGTTTGTCCTAACTGAACCATTCTTTATTGTTCAGGTGCCAGCTAAGGAAACTTGTGTTTTAGAAGTAAACGATTTAGAGCCCAACCAAAAGTACATATTTGCGGTTGCAGCCTATGACTCAGATGGAAAGCTTATTGGTGACAACATTGGAGAAACAACTAAGCCAATCCTTGCATATCCTCCTCTTTCTGCTGCAACTGTCCGAGCTTACCTGATTCAGGTAGTATATATTATTAATGAACCAGGAAGATAATGGTGCAGTAGGTGGAGGAGGCTTCCAATGATAATGGAACAACTCCATCTGGATTAATTTTCTCTTGTAAATTATATTCTTGGAAAATATAAAGGAAGATGTTTTAAATGGTCTTGATTTACCTTGTAAAGGGATTCACATTTTTATGGGCATAAAACTTGTCAAATAGAAAACATACTGAAGCCTCTGGTGTCTATGAATTGCTGGGGACCTTAAGTTATTATAGCAATATTTTCTCCAGATAGTATTTTTCTTTGTGGAAGAGGAAAATGCCTTTAAACCTTTGAAGACATACACCTAATGTCACAGTATTTTCCTATGAAGTATAAAATTGTTTTTGGGAAAAGATTATAATCTTGATTTTCACTGATCCATCAATGCATTTGGGTTTTTCTGTAAGCTTTGCTTGCCTTGATTTGTATGAGCAAGATGACCCGGATATAGCCTGCCACTTGTTCTTGCAGAAAACCATAAACCTTTAGACTAAACTGTTATGTGGAAGAATTTTAGATTTTATAGAAATATTTCCTTCCAAGAAATTGTGCTTTCATCCAAGTTTTCAAATCTGTTCATTTCTCCTGAGTACAGAAACTCGCTGGACATCCCTGCCAGTCTTTGTATCCCCTGCATCTCCTGATCAAATCTTGTACTGCTCATTTTGTATTTCCTCCTGCTCAGTGACTCAACATCTTCAAGCACCCATGTACTCTCACCCCTTCTGACACAGTTCCACTCAATTTTAGATGTTTGGTTCATAGTCATTACACTATTGTTCCATTATTCCGTTTAGCAGAGTTATGTACAGTTGTGTGAAAAAGCAAGTACCGTACACCCTCTTTGAATTCTGTGGTTTTACATATCAGGATATAGTAAAAATCCTCTGTCCTTAGCAGGTCTGAAAATTAGACAAATGCAACCTCAGATCATGACATGGTATAATATGTCACGTTGTTCATCTGAGATTGCATTGACCTAGTTTTCAGACCTGCTAAGGACCAGATTATTTTTATTATGTCCTGATACATAAAACCAGAGAATTCAAAGAGTGTGTACTTTCTTTTTCATATGATTGTACGTATGTCATGACCAGTAAAACAAGCAAAAGTGTTTGTATTGTGCTCATTCTGTGATTATTTAGTGCTACTGGGGAGATCCACATAATTGTCTTCAGAATATTATGTCATATTTTATCTTTTCTTTGGTTTGTAAATAGCCAGAAAAGTAATGGTTTATTGCTATATTTTCAACATGTTTATTATTGATTAATATAACTTTAAATAATAAATGTGAATGGAATATTCATTTTAGAATCTCTTTTCTTTTAGTTTGCTTTTCTAGTCGAAAATTATACATTATGTAAGAAGGCATTTCAACCACTATGGGACCATTTTGTTTCAGAACCTCATACTCCTGTTAGTGATGTCACCGTTGTTTCTATAAGCAGCACTCTGACAGTACCTCAGAATAGGTAATCAGCAGAAGTTTTTTTCCCCTCAAATTATTAATAGAGTTCTATGATACTTTAAAAGCAAACTGTATAGTACTTATATAATTTATATGAAAACATTTCTACAAGAAATCAAGAAAATCTGTAATCAAAATATGCATGATTATAAAATCAACATGGTTGTTGTACACTAGAACACAGATGGAATTCTAACTCCTCTGAAGATGCCGGCCACAGAGACTGGCGAAATGTTAGGAAGAAAAACCTCCACACGGCCAAACAGCCCGAAAAACCTACAACAACCATTGGGTCCCGGCCATGAACGCCTTTGAGAATATATAAAATCATCACTTTATTAATTATAATTTTCTTCTTTAATTGCACACTGAGCATCTTTCTTAGTGTTGTTTATAATTATTTAGTGCTTCGCCTTTATTACGTAGGAGTACCTAAATTTCAAGCTACTAGCCTGATTAAACGAGTTCCTGTTTTGCCAAAGAACTATGTAGATTCAAGTACCAAGACAATGTAGCATTATGTTCAGGAGAACAGTGGACTTAGCATTTCAATGTTGGTCAGCACTGACCAGCGAGCATTAGCAACGGAGCTTGTAAAGTTACTTCTGAAATTGATAGTTACAGTTAATGTTCAAAGTCCCTGGAACAGTAATTAGGGAACACTATAGTTATATTTATTATAAATGTAACCCTTTATTCTTCTATTTCTCAAAGAATGACTAAAATAGTAGATTTGAATGTTGCCTTTTTAAAAAATCTGAATGCTGTGAGACACTGTTCTGTGATTAAAAACAAACTGTGCCTCATCTCCATTGTCTTTGCTCCAACAACTGCATCAGAACTTGAGGTGGCAGGATGAGGCATTGTGTGGGCCAGCACTTGAAACATGTAGTGTTTGTTTCCCACTCTTTGAGGCCATACCCCTGTAAGTCTTAAAGTAATTTTTAAAAATGACTTCTATTGGGAAAAGGAGTTAATTGCAATTACCTATTTGCTTTTAATTAGTTATTTCCAGGCCCTGATTAGCAGCCATCTCATGTTGTATAGTAAGAGCATGGATGGGAATGAGATATATGAGGGGGGCAGGCATGGGCAACATTTAGTGCTATCAAGAAAATTTACCAGTTAATACAGAGCCAGTAATGGCTCCCACTTTTATTGCAGATAATTTCTATGTTCTCTTCATTATTGTGTGATATTATGATATCTTACACTATTTATGTTTTGCATACTTTGTAGATTAATTCCTGAAGTTCTTGTTCGGTCATCTCCAAACCTCTTGTATCTGTTCATCAGGAACATTTTTATTATCAGTGACATCGCCGTGAATGAAGGAGCGCTGTTCTGTGACTCTGTTTGTTTCAATGAGCTGAAATACAGTAAACAAGTACGGGTGCTAGAATGTAATGAATTATCTTTTGAATTGCTCTCACTTTTCTGTCTGTTCTTACATTTTAATCCCAAACATACCCTTCTTATTCAAATTTATGCCTGATTTGAATTTTGACAGTAGAAGTTATCTTTCCCGTAAAATGGCTTTGCTGTTGTTGAAAAAGTTGCTACAAGAGAAAAGCAATGGTTTCAAGGCTTCTTTAAGGGGAGAAACTTTTCAGCCTGTTCTCTTTATAAACCCCACAGGACTGTGGATGGCATGGGACCTGCTGACAATCACATAGGCTATGGTGAATGATTAGGAATTTCTCAGGGCTTTGTGGATATACAATGGGAAAACTGAAATCTTGCCTGTGATGTTTCCCTGAGGCTAGTTTTAGGAAGGCAAAAATTAGGGAAAACTAGGGTGCCTGGAAATTAGTGAAAACGATGTGCCTCAGAATTCTGGAAGTTATAGTAAAAAATTATATCAGAGCTATGTAAAATTATGTACTTTGAGAAGAATGTGGATAGACAGAATTTTTTTTTGTAATAATGTGGTTTTATAAGGGCAATCATGCAAGCCCTCTGTAATCAGACATGCGTTGATTGAATTAGATGAAGGACAGCCTACTGGGGGGGGGGAACGCTCCATGATCATTCTTCTGCATATAATTTTTCTTCACTGGATCTTGTCAATTGTGTTCTACTGTTAGAAACTTTGGATCCAATTAAGCTGAATAGTAGAAGATTTTGGATTAGTAAAAGACAATTCTTCCTTGCCCACAGCATACTTAAATTGTGGAATTCTCTATCAGAAGATGTAGTAATGGTTGAATTGCAAACGGTGGGTGGAATGAAAAGAGATAAAAAAATCATGAAGATTAAGACTATCAGTGGCTATAAGTCCTCATAGCTAGGAGCTACCTTCAGTATTAGAGGCATTGTGATTCCCAGTTTAAGTTGCTGGGGAACACAGGTAGGGAGAATGCTGTTGCAGACATATCTTGTTTATAGACTTCCCTAGTTGGGCACTGTGTGAGCAGAATGCTGGACTAGATAGCACTCCATATATCAAGTCAGCAGACATGACTTACCTGTTGCTCTATTTGTAGTTTTAAAAGCAAAGCAAAGTGTGCTGCTTATATACCGCCCCATAGCACTTCAAGCCCTCTCTGGGCAGTTTACAAGTTAATTATGCAGGCTAGACATCCCCCCCCCCAGCAAGCTGAGTACTCATTTTACCAACCTTGGAAGGATAGAAGGCTGAGTCAACCTTTAGCCAGTTACCTGGAATTGAACCCCAGGTCGTGAGCAGTTTTGGCTGCAGTACAGCAGTTTAACCACTGCTCCACAAGGCTCCTACTTGTCTTCACTTGTCTTTGTCGGGCTACTTACCTCCTGGACATAGTCTATTTGTTTTGTTTCCCCTGGTCGTGAGCAGTTTTGGCTGCAGTACTTCTATGCACCTCCCCATATACTATGCCACATCCTTGTGATCTACCATATTTTTCCATGTATAAGACACCCCCATGTATAAGACACCTGCCCCCCCACTTTTCTAACCCAAAATTAAGAAATCTAAGTGGGGCTTAGCAAGTGTAGGGGGAAAGGGATCAAAGCACTGCAGGATCGGTTTGATGCCTGCTTTCTCCCTTTGGGGCTTAGCAAAAGGAGGGAAAAAGGGATGATTGTTTTGATCCCTTTCCCCCTTATTCAGCCATGGGATTGCTTTGATCCTTTCCCCCTATACTTGCTAAGCCCCATGGGACTTAGTAAGCAGAGGGGAAAGCAAGGATCAAAGCCATCCTGCAGCGCTTTGATCCCTGCTTTCCTTTTGCTAAGGCTTAGCAAGTGGAGAAGAAAGTAGGGATCAAAGCCTGCAGGATCACTTTGATCCCTGCTTTCCCCGCCACTTGATTTTATCTTCTCAGCTTACTTCCATGTATAAGACGGCCCTCAAATTTTAGTCTAAGGATTTTAGACAAAAGTACCGTATAGTCTTATACGGCAAGAGGAGAAGGGGACGACAGAAGATGAGATGGCTGGACAGTGTCTGCGAAGCAACCAACATGAAATTGACACAACTACAGGAAGCAGTGGAAGATAGGAGGGCCTGGTGTGCGCTGGTCCATGGGGTCACAAAGAGTCGGACACGACTAAACGACTAAACGACGACGATAGTCTTATACATGGAAAAATAACGGCAATCCCTTTCACCCTTTATAAAACTCTACTGAATCATTTCCCAAGCCTATTGTATCAGAGTTACAGCATGTGTAAACAAACTGGTACTTTGATCCAGTTTCTCCTTCTGGATCATTTGCTCTTGAAAACAAGAAAAAGTTAAGCAATTTATGGGTAATTTTTAGAGTTTTTTTAAGTTAGTTATGTAAAAAAATAATTATAATAAGAAGGTTAATGCATTGTTTCCCTTTCCCTGCTTACAACTCACATACATTACATTTAGGAATTGGCATGAAAACAGTATAGGTCTTCTTTCTATAACTCATCCCTTGTTGTTATGAATAAAAACTAATGGCTTAGTTAAGCTAAGCCATTGCATTTTCAACCATCAGGTGGCAGACATTGTATTCATTTTTAAAAAATTTATAATTTGGTGTACAGTTAGCTTCCTCTAATTTATAGGTGCAATATGCAATAAATTGTCTCTTTTAAAAATTACAGTGTAATAAGATCTTTTTTGGGGATTTAATGAATTTAGGCTCCTCAGAAACTTCTAAAAATGGGAGACCCTGTAACTTGTGCTGTTTCATTTTCTAGAAGTATATTTATTTTCTTTTTCTTTTTATACCTGTGATGTGATATAAAGATAAAAAAATATGTTTTCATTTTCAGGTTGCAAGAATAACTGAATGTGGGCGAATGCTGGTGGCAATTGAACTCAGTAACTGGTTGAACGATGTACATTATGCCCTACAGTCAGTTGTTTATTGTTATGGTCTTATCGCTCCGTTGGTCTATCACAAAATACCTTCCGAACCTGTCATCCAGGTAAAAGCAGTTCTTAAAATATATTATGTAACCATCATCTGAACATTATTATTTAAAAAATCAATTAAGAGGTCTGGAGAGCATTCTTCCAATTTATTAACACTTCTTAGAAGTCATAATGGTTGAAAACTGAGACTCAGATGTGAGCATAGCATAGTGACTTGTCTTAAAATCCAGCAAGGGGGTAATACAGACAAAATGTTTGGGAATTCAGTATCATTTCTATAGTATGGTCAAGACAAAAGCCATAAAAAGCTAGCATTGGAACAACTTGGCAACCACTGGGAAAATCTGATAGATATTTACGACTATATAGGTCTCTGAGGTTGAAGGATAAGTATTCACCAAAACTATTTTTTGTCTTGGATATAGATGAATATGCTAGAATTTAAGTTATAGAAGCTACATATCTTGAGTTTGATGCATACAAAATGGTGCTGTAATTGAAACACTACTCAGACATCCTAAAAGCAGGTTAAACAAACGTGAGGAGGAGTATGTGGAATATTTGTGTTCTATTCCAGAGGAGAATCTTAAAGTATCATTATTCAACATTGGGGGAATATAAGACTTGCCCCTTTTTATTTTGGAAGACCACAGATGTTTCTGGGATCCACAAAATGGCTGGGTTTCCTAAAACTAACTGCATTGTTTTAAAAATGTTGCATTTCTAAGCAAGACAAGGTTTCCTTTTATGTATTTGTCATGCAGTATCCTGCCACTGTGATATTAAAATAATATCCCTGTGTTTTCAGATCATTATTAAGTGCCTCACTGTTGTCCAAGAAATCCCAAATACCATATTGCAAAGAAGACCGAGGTCATGCTATGAGAGTATTCAGCACATGATAGCTTGCTGCTGCTTTTACACAGCAAAGGTATTTATTGTTTCTAGGAAAATAACATGTGTAAGTAATTGACATAGATGAGACTATAGCATTGGCCAGGATCCATTTGGATGCTTCATCTGGATCTGGCTGCTTCTGTGTTCTTCTCTCCCTCTTGCACTCCCCTGTGTATGCTGAAACATCTCAGGAATAAAAAACTGTGGTTCCTAAGATCAGGTGTGATGTCTCACAGAATCACTGACCAGTGCTTATATGCTGACTTTGGCTTCTAGAAGCTGAAGTCTAACGACATCTGGGGACCCAGATTTGGAAACTAATTCTGAAGATTGGAAGGAAGAGGCAGGCATGTTAGTGCTCGCACATTGGGCAAAAACAAAATAAAAATTAAAGTAAAGAAGACAAAAATGTTGTTGCACTTTAACTGCAAAATGTGGTGAGCTCATTGTACAGGATTGTGCTGGACAGGGGAATTCTCGACCAGCATGAACATAGGATTTTTTTCACCGGAACACAAGGTTTCACTGAAAACAATTAAGAGGGTTCTTGCTAGCATGAGCAGTGCTTCCTGTGCCCATTTTAAAACATGTTTTCCCCCAAATGTCAGTGCCTCAGAATCAAGGATACATAACTAGCATGGATGCTTTGCTAGGTTTTTTGGCTGAAGAAATGGTGAGAAATTCTGCAACATCTTAAAGACTGTCCATTTATTTTGAAATAACACTCAGTAGGTTGGAATATGCTGAGGTAATCACCAAAACCTTCTAAATAAATGGGCTCCAGAGCAAAGCAGTTTATACTGCAGTATGTTTCATGGAGTTGGGTCCAGAGAAGTGTGTGGTTTCTTTATAAATGCAGAAGTATCTCTTCTTACTCCTGAAAAACCTCTCTTCCTTAATAGTGTGTGTGTGGGGGGTTATCATTGGAGCATTGTGTCAATGGACTGGCCCCTGCCCCTGGGCATAGAAATGATTGAAACATATCCAGAAGTTTCTTTGGACCTGAGGCTTAAGTTAAAAGGTATAACCAGATTGTATGGTTTTAACAGAAGAACTTGTAGCCATTATGTAAAAAAAGATATTATCTATATTCAATAGATATTGCGATCGTGGAAGGAATATGAATTAGCAATTTTTGTTATTAACTGTGGGAAAAAGTTGTTGGATTCCTCACAGACAGCATCTCAAATGGCTATAGCTGAAGAAGGAGCAGATGAAATTCCAGAAGATGAGGTAACTGCTTGCTTTTCATTCCAGCTTTCTTTAGTATATATTTTATCTATAATATTGTACTTAATAATTGCTTTTCTGATGAAGAGGCTAACTAATGTAGTTTTGCAAAAGGTGAAGCCCTTTACATCCAAAAAGCCATGTAGTGTTACCTGTCATGTGTATGACCATTCTGTTTGGGCATTTTGGAGCAAACTGAAAACATACAAAACACACAAAATCTTGTGTGTTGATTAGGCTACCAGGTACGGTTGGCAGAGTGTGCTCAACTTAGCAGGCTTGTCTTAGAGGCCTAAATAAACAAAACACACCCAGTGGAGGAAAAAAATTCACCTGTTACAACACTCTGTTGTTGATCTGAAAGTGGCTAGTAAATGAAAAACTTCAAAGGGGGACTCCAGAATGAAATTACAGGTGCACAATTTCCTGTGTTAAATAGGTCACTTCTGCCACCTATAATTTGAACTGCCATCACCTTTCTGTTGATTGAGATGTTAATTATCATAGCAATGCAAAGATGTTTGTTATCTGCATTTAATATTTAATATAGTTACCAGAGACTATATTTTTTCACATTTAATTTCCCTCAGACTTCCAGGCGCTATTGGAATGAAATTCCTATGTGGGCTAGCCAGTATACCCCATGGTGGGGAATGATAAGAGTTGTAGTCCAGCAATACCTGGGGGGCATCTGTACCAAATTCCTGCTGTAACAAGGGAAATGGTTACTTGGGGATGAAATTTATAAACCTAATTGATTTCAGCAGTGTATTTAGGAGCTACATGAATCATGGATTAGCGCTGAAATTATATGCAAATAAAATATATTTTTCCCTAGCCACCAGAAATACTACCATTTATGATTTGTACAATTATTCTAGTATCTGTACCTGTAGTTGTTTTGGAACTAAATTAATTGGGAAAATAATAATCTATTAGCTAATTATTCCAGGCTCCTTCCAAAAGGCTGAAAGCACAAATAGCTGCAGTTGAAAAAGTAAATGAGAACTTAGAAGCTCTGGAAAGTAACCTGCTCAAACTGACAAAACCAGGTACATTTGATTTTTTAATCTCTACTAAGCCTATTACATACCCTAAAGACATTAAGCATAAGCTGTGGATTTTGTTGCTCCTTCTTTGAATAGTAAATAGAGATGATGATATAAGATTCATATTAATCTTACTTCTGTGTTAATCCGTTGTTGGTGTGACCTTTAAATATGAAATCTGTCAACCTTCAAACCTGGTTGTTTTTACTAATCTTTTATTTTGTTTTTAACACAATTGTTATATTGCTACTAGTCTATCAAACTTCAAAGAATTTCAGATCTTCTCAGGTATTTTCTACCCACAGAACATTTTTATAATCTTGGTGACCTTGTTGTTGTTGTTGTTGTTGTTTAGTCGTTAACTTGTGTCCGACTCTTCGTGACCCCATGAACCAGAGGACGCCAAGCCCTTCTGTCTTCCACTGCCTCCTGGAGGTTGATCAAATTCATGTTGGTAGCTTCAAAGATACTGTCCATCCATCTCATCCTCTGTTGTCCCCTTCTCCTCTTGCCTTCACACTTTCCCAACATCAGGGGCTTTTCCAGGGAGTCTTTTCCTCTCATGAGATGGCCAAAGTAGTGGAGCCTCAGCTTCAAGATCTGTCCTCCCAGTGAGCACCCAGGGTTGATTTCCTTTAGAATGGATAGGTTCGTTCTCCTTGCAGTCCAGGAGACTCTCAAGAGTCGCCTCCAGCACCACAATTAAAAAGCATAAATTCTTCAGCGGTCAGCTTTCTTTATTGTGCAGCTTTCACTTCCATACATCGCTACTGGAAAAACCATAGCTTTGACTATGTGGACCTTTGTCCACAAGGTGATGTCTCTGATTTTTAAGATTCTGTCTAGGTTTGTCATCTCTTTCCTCCCAAGAAGCAGGCGTCTTTTAATTTCGTGGTTGCCAAGAAAGTAAAATCTGTCACTGCCTCCATATCTTCCCCTTCTATTTGCCAGGAGGTGATGGGACCAGTGGCCATGATCTTAGTTTTTTAATATTGAGCTTCAGACCATTTTTGCGCTCTCCTCTTTAACCTTCATTAAGAGGTTCTTTAATTCCTCCTCACTTTCTGCCATCAGAGTGGTATCATCTGCATATCGGAGGTTGTTGATATTTCTTCCGACAATCTTAATTCCGTTTTGGGATTCATACAGTCCAGCCTTTTGCATGATATGTTCCGCATATAAGTTAAATAAGCAGGGAGACAATATACAGCCTTGTCGTACTCCTTTCCCAATTTTGAACCAATCAGTTGTTCCATATCCAATTCTAACTGTTGCTCGCTGGCATATTGAGTGTAGCACCTTAACAGCGTCATCATTTAAGATTTTAAATAGTTCAACTGGAATGCCATCACCTCCACTGGCCTTGTTGTTAACCATGCTTTCTAAGGCCACTTGACTTCGCTCTCCAGGATGTCTGGCTCAAGGTCAGCAACCACACTATCTGGGTTGCCCACGACATCCAGATCTTTCTGGTATACTGTAATTCCTCTGGGAATTCTTGCCCTCTCTTCTTGATGTCTTTTGCTTCCTTGAGGTCCCTGCCATTTTTGTCCTTTATCATGCCCACCTTTGCACAAAATGTTCCTTTAATATCTCCAATTTTCTTGAACACAACTCTGGTTTTTCCCTTTCTATTATTTTCCTCTATATCTTTGCACTGTTCATTTAAGAAGGCCCTCTTGTCTCTCCTTGCTATTCTTTGGAAGTGTGCATTCAATTTTCTGCAACTTTCCCTATCTCCCTTGCATTTTGTTTCCCCTCTTTTCTGCTATTTGTAAGGCCTTGTTGGACAGCCCCTTTGCTTTCTTGCATTTCCTTTTCTTTGGGAAGGTTTTTGTTTCTGTCTCCTGTACAACGTTATGAGCCTCCATCCCTAGTTCTTCAGGCACTCTGTCCACCAAATCTAGTGCCTTAAATCTGTCCTTCACTTCCACTATCTATTCATAAGGTATTTGGTTTAGATTATACCTGACCAGCCCATGGGATGTAGTGGCGCTGCGGGCTAAACTGCAGAAGACTTTGTGTGCTGCAGGGTTAGAAGACCAGCAGTCGTAAGATCGAATCCACGCAAAGGAGTGAGCTCCTGTCGCTTTGTCCCAGCTCCTCGGCAACCTAGCAGTTCGAAAGCATGTAAATGCGAGTAGATAAATAGGTACCATCTTGGTGGGAAGGTAAACAGTGTTCCGTGTATAGCCGCGCTGGCCACGTGACAACGGAAACTGTCTTTGGACAAACACTGGCACTATGGCTTGGAAATGGGGATGAGCACCGCCCCCTAGAGTCGACAACGACTGACTAAAATGTCAAGGGGAACCTTTACCTTTACTATACATTACTAGCCCAGTGGTTTTTCCTACTTTCTTCAGTTTAAGCTTGAATTTTGCTATATGAAGCTAATGATCAGAGCTACAATCAGCTCCAGGTCTTGTTTTTGCTGACTGTATAGAGCTTCTCCATCTTTGGCTGCAGAGAACATAATCAATCTGATTTTGGTATTGCCCATCTGGTGATTTCCATGTGTAGAGTTGCCTCTTGTGTTGTTGGAAAAGTGTGTTTGTGGTGACCAGCTTGTTCTCTTGACAAAACTCTTATTAGCCTGCTTCGTTTTGAACTCCAAGGCCAAACTTACTTGTTGTTCCTTTTATCTCTTGACTCCCTACTTTAGCGTTCTTATCCCCTATAATGAGAAGAACATCTTTCTTTCGTGTCAGTTCTAGAAGGTGTTGTAAGTCTTCATAGAATTGGTCAATTTCAGACTCTTCAGCATTGGTGGTTGGTGCATAAACTTGGATGACTGTGATGTTGAAAGGTCTGCCTTGGATTTGTACTGTAACCATTCTATCATTTTTGAGATTGTATCCCAGTACAGCTTTTCCCACTCTTTTGTTGACTATGAGGGCTACTCCATTTCTTCTATGGGATTCTTGCCCAGAATAGTAGATATGATAATCGTCTGAATTGAATTCCTGTCCATTTTAGTTCACTGATGCCTAGGATGTCAATGTTTATTCTTTCCATCTCCTGTTTGACCATATCCAGCTTACCAAGGTTCATAGATCTTACATTCCAGGTTCCTATGCAGTATTTTTCTTTGCAGCATTGGACTTTCCTTTCATTTCCATGCATATCTGCAGCTGAGTGTCCTTTTGACTTTGGCCGAACCACTTCATTAGCTCTGGAGCTACTTGTCCTTGTCCTCCGCTCTTCCTTAGTAGCATGTTGGATGCCTTCCAACCTGCAGGTCTCATCTTCCAGCGCCATATCTTTTAGCCTTTTGTTTCTGTTCATGGGGTTTTCTTGGCAAAGATACTGGAGTGGCTTGCCAGTTCCTGCTTCCAGGTGGATCACGTTTAGTCAGAACTCTCCACTATGACCTGTCCGTCTTGGGTGTCCCTGCACGGCATAGCCCATAGCTTCTCTGAGTTACTCAAGCCCCTTCGCCACGACAAGGCAGGAACTGTGAAGGGATTGGTGACCTTAGGCACTTTCAAAATGAGAGATGACTCATAAATGGAAGAGATATAAAATGTATGAAAATACACAGCCAGGAACTTGCATTTTATTTAATAGTGCATTCTCCTTGCACTCAAAGTGCTGTCCTGGGGGGAAATTTTCAGAATGCTCTCCCTTTTAACTGGCTTGTAAAGATGGTGTGATTTGGAGAAAAGGATCTAGATTATGCACAGATTTTGGAATCATAAAATTGGAGAGCTGGAAGTTACTCCAGAATTCATTGATTCCAAACCCACCCACCCCAGTCAGGTCAGATAAACTGATGTTCCACAAATCATAGCCTCTACAACATTCCTGTGATTTCTTACAGAGCTCTGCTGGAGATCTGGCAAGCCCATAGCTGTCTTACACTTGTAGACAATTTCAAATACTGATTATGCCCTAGGGAGCTCTATAGAAGTTGAGATCAGGCTATTTGAAAAATTGCACCCTTCCTGCCCTTTCAGAATTAAAGGCACATATGGTGGAAAGAGTGCTTACTCCCAGATTCAGGAACTGGCTGCACCCATGTTAGTGCAGAAAGTAAACTAAGAAGAACAGTGGTATCAACTACCTTTGCAGGTCAACACAGGTCTCTCACTTATTGGAGGCCTTGTTGGAAGACAGTTGTTTAATGATTTTGGTTTATTATACTTGTCAGAAGACCATCTGTCATGGATGCTTTAACTGTAGATTTCTTGCCGGGGTGGTGGAGGACCCTAAGACCCTTGGGGCTCATTCCAGTTGTACAGTTCTGTAATTCCAAGATGTTTTTATTCAGGCAGGTATCTGGCTTTGAAGTTTTTTGCTGCAGTAAGTTTTAACTAGTAGGTCCTATTTGTTTCTTTTTACTGATATCTTTTAAGGCATATGCTTTTATGATTCAGTTGCATTGTACCTAGTAGTTTAGTATTGTTGTTAACTGTTGTAAGTACCACTATTGTACAGGGAGTAAATACATTAATAAATCTCTAGCCCTAAATGTAATTTTGTGTAAAAGTGCTTAACTGTTGCTTGATTGTGTCCACAGTTTACATATCTTCCAAATTAGTCTTTTTCATGTTGCATTTTTGTTTCATCTGCTTGATTTAGGACAGGAACTTACTGGAGATGAAGATTCTTTTCTCTTGTATCCAGTAGTTTCAAATTGGCAAACAAAATCTGCTTTTAAAGAAGGTAACAATTAAATTTTTTGCAGTTTGTTCAATATTTTCACAAATGAAATAAAAGATTATTTTAAAAAGCAAAAGATGTACCTTTTAAAAAAATCAAATCTATCTTTTGGTCTGATCATCTTACTCTTAAACTCTACTACTTATTTTACTGTGAAAGCTGAGTCATAAATGTAGTCTATTTAAATATACATACCACCAGGTTCCTTTATCAGACATGAATCATCATGGGCCACATCTGAGAGTAGAAACGATCTGTATGCTTTTGTGACACTCATTGATTGTGCTGTCTCTTTTAATTGTAATCAATTTGTATATTCCACTGGAATCTAAATGACTTAAATGCTTTTTATAGTTGCCAAGATTGCATCTTATAAGTCTGACTTAATTGAATGCATTTATACCAATATTTGTTGATAAAATTAAAGGAAATGTTTTAATTTTTTGGAATTGAAGTATTGTATGTGGAGGCACTACACTGAAGTTTTGTTGTTTAGCATAGTAAGTTGCAGTAAAGTAGGCCCATTGAGTCCTCCATATATTCCATTGGTTCAAATGGGCCCACTCTAATTCTGCTAGAGCGGGTCTATTTGAATATAATGGAAAGTGTAGAAGAGTTGACTCACTAAATCCCCGCTACTCTAGTGTGACTTACTATGCTAAACAGTTGGATTTCAGCTTATATATATTGAGTCTTGCCAAACTGTGATTCAATCAACCCACTGAAAGTACTTTACTGAAGCTCCCGAAGTCTTTGCACAAGGGCTAATGAATCCAGAAAGTGTACTGCTCTTCAAAGTGTGTCTAGCTATGGCATCAGAGTCAAGAATTGTTGTTGATTTGCTTTCACATATCAGGACTGTTCAGTTTCTGTGGGGGTGCCATTCCCAAGGTTGCTAAGCTGTTGGCTTAATCTACAGTAGTAGGGTAAATCATCCTGGATGACATCACAGCTGCTTCTGAAGGGCATGAATGCCTACCATTCTTCTTTCTCATAGGTGATAGAGAGCTTGCTTAATTGCCTTTCCTTGGGCCAATCATAATGGCATTATGTAACCATTGTCCTATCTGAACTCTGGTAACTGTACGCTGTCAACTATCTGTGAGCTTGTAAGGTTAATAAAAGCACAGTCCTCCTGGGGGCGGGGCAGAAGACTTCTCATTCTGCTTCCTCAGACTAGTCGCCCATCAAGAGCACTGCTGGCAGACATCCCTGTGTGTGGCTGACTTCTTTAACTTCTATCTCTAAGAGACTATTTGCTATCTTAATTATCTGGTAATCACAAAGCCCATCAATCTTCTCATTTTGTGACCCCAACAAGGACCTAACCTATAAAGAAATTAGAAACACATTTCTTTCTTTCTGCTTTTTACACTATTTGAGGTTTTGGGCAAAATCCTATTGCTGATTTATGGCACTGCTTATTAACAAGGTGTTGGTTGCATTCCCTGATGTGTGATTGGGCACATAGACCATAATTGGCAACAGGATTCTGGATGTTAAGGAATTGTTGTAGCTATCCTTATTTGGATTCCCAGTTCTGTGTACTTTCACTTCTGAATGTTGCATTTTAGAAACTGCAACATGCCCAATATTAAAGGTGTAAGATACAAAGTTTATCATTTTCTCCTGTATACATGGTTTTGCTAGTTTAACAGTGCTTTGAAGTCTCCATGTATTTTTACAGAAATTTCAGTGCAGTTGTTAAATGTTGTCCTATTTTTTTAATTTTTTTAACATATTGTCTGAAATCCAGTAGTGTAAAGTTATGCCACATAAGGCTAACAATGTCATCAGCCATGGCCATTTTCTGCAAATTAGAAGTTTCTGATTTCCTGCTGTCCCACAGCTTCCAGGGCTTTCCTCGGGACAAAAGAGATCCCAAGGAAGCCTCACAACCTTGAGAGCGATGGGTGGAGCAGGAAACTTCTAATCCCAGTAATGAACAGTTATGTAGCATAACTTTACACTACTGGATTTCAGCCATTATAATTAAGTTTGCTTTGTTGAATGCAATAAAAATATTAATATCAATGGCAATCATTTATAAATAAATAAGCAATAAAAAGATAAAATAATCTTATATGTAAAATGACATGGAATAATGAAAATTGTTTTATATTTATACAGTGATGAAATTCAAGAAGAGTCCCCGCTTCCTTGAATATTTTGTTAAACTTGTATACAAAGCACTACAAGAAGAAAAATTTGCAAGAATATTAGAGTGGGCGGAAGAAGTACATGATTATCTTAAGAAGTAAGTACAGTATAGAAATGTAAGAGCAAACCCCTTTTTCTACTTCAGCTATTTACCTGAAAATATTCCTTAGGTCTGGCCAGCAACAAAACTTCAGAAGTTATAGCTGCAACAAAATGGCCCTTCCTCCAACATTAGCCAAAATATACTTGCGTACAGTGTTGCTTGGATGTATTTTCTACATAGTTTGTAATCAGCATTCTAATGACTGATACTGTAGCAATAGCTTTTGAGCCAGGATTCTGTGACATTTTCTTTGATAATTTTCTCTTAAATATCATTTTTAACTTTTTTCTTATGTATTTTAATTATGAAAGGTCTCATTGTTGTGAAATACAGAACATTCACAATTAATATTGAAGAAGAATGTCATTTAATGATGCTGTGTATTTTGTGGATGTCGATTCTGAATTCTAAAGATCTTTTGGAAGGCAGGGATAAATGGTTGCCCACACTGAATATCAAAAACTGATTCTTGCTTTCTCTGCCGATACAAAAATTATTTTCAGTTTGTTTGTTTGTTTATCAGGCGGAATAGATTCGTTCTTGGTATCAAGCGTACTTCAAGAAAAGGTAGAAAATCTCATGGATCTGCAGAGAAAAAGAAACTCGCAACACTAGAATTTAACAAGGTAAGCAGGTTGTATCTTATTTTCTCACCCAGACTTGGGAATGGGCCAGTTGATGTTTTCAAACGTGCATTAATTGTCAATTAAAATATTAGATATGGACTAGTGACTCACCAAACCTACTCATGTGAAAGTTTTTTTGGTTTTAAAAAATATAGCAGAGTTTCAGTGGCAGCTTAACTCCACAGAAAAATTGTGAAATTCTCCATCTACTTTGAGATTCATGCCAGGCATATTAAAAGTGAATTTGCTTATATATTTTGGACTGATGTTTTGAAAAAAAAAATCAAACTGAAGCATTATTTGATGCTATGTGATCCTTAAAGGGTTTGACTTACATGGGGGCTTTAGCCACTATATAGTTATAATTGGTGAAAGGTTTCCACATTATATTTCCTATAGAAAGAAATAAAGGTTGTTTTTTTTTTCATTTTGCCAACTGGTCTAGTACAGCTGCTATTCAATTATACTGTAGTTCAGCCTTACAATTCTGCTACCTTCGTAAAGCTTGAAGTGTCTAATTGTGCCTTTTATCCAAGCGGACCATGTATAATGGGAAATGGGATGGGGGTAAAAAGTGCCATTTTCTAACCTCCCTTTGGTAAGATTAGCTTGTCACAACTGTTTATCCCTGAGTAGGAACAGGGCGTTTGCCAAAACTTTTCCCAATACTTTATCTGCTGAGGAAATGGGTAAGCTTTAATCACATTCCACTTAAAAAATCTCTCTTGTCCTCAACAAGTTGAAAGAATTCTGTTGTTGGGCTACCCCGTTTTCTCCCTGATTACTGAGATATGTGATTGAATATCCAAAATCTTATAACCTTCCCTTCCTTCCTAAGCAGGAAGATACATTTATTAATAGTACAGCTGGCAAGGCAACGGAGTCAGGCTGGATTGTCAGAAGATGAGTTTACAGTGTACTGTATTTGAAATGTAAATTCGAGGGAAGAAGTATTTTAAAAGTATTTAATTGTATGATATATTAAATGTGCATGGGTTCACGTAGCTGAAGAGAAAGCATGTTAGGCTTAATCTTCCCTCCAAGGCCACTTGGGGAACCTGTCAAAAGTGAAAAATGTCAAAACATGTCAAACATAACATAGTTCTTCGTGGTTTCTGTGATTCCTTGCAAAGGGGTCTCTGCACCATCACAGAGGCTTGCTTTGGACAGTAATGGCTAAGTAAATACACAGGTATTTTATAAATACTAATTCAAAATAAATTACAATTTTTAATAAAAACTTAGGAATATATTTTCTTTTATTCAAGTGAAAAATGTCAAAACATGTCAAACATAACATAGTTCTTCGTGGTTTCTGTGATTCCTTGCAAAGGGGTCTCTGCACCATCACAGAGGCTTGCTTTGGACAGTAATGGCTAAGTAAATACACAGGTATTTTATAAATACTAATTCAAAATAAATTACAATTTTTAATAAAAACTTAGGAATATATTTTCTTTTATTCATCATCTATCTGTTGCTGAATTTTGGAATACTATTTCAAAAAATTATTTATTTATTTATTTATTTATTTATTTATTTATTTATTTATTTATTTATTTATATCCCTCCCACCCCCCAGACAAAGTTTACTCAGAAAATCTGGATGTTCTTGTCTGTCAAGTACATAATTACAGATTTTAATTTTAAATATTGGACAAATGTTAACTATTGTGACATAACAATATATTTTTGTTCAGATGACAGGGTCACCAGCACCCAGGAGATCAAAGACTCTTAAGAAAAAAGAGTTTAAATATTTTAATAAATGTCCAGGCAGATCATATGACTCAGAAAGGTAATTCAGCTGTTTTATGTGGTCTAAATAAAATGCTGTTATGTATGTTTTTTTCTGCTGTGGTGGCATGTTTAATTAAAGGGGTTAGAAAAATATCTTGATGACTTTTTTATTCTTTAATTTTCACTGGGTGACAAGTTTTCCATTCTAGGAAATAAATCAGAATTAGTATTTCAAATCATTGTAGACTCCTGGTTTGGCACTCAACTGTATCCAGTCCCTATTAAGCACTTTTCTCTCTGCAGCATGGCAAATGTGAGTAGATGAGAAAAAAAAGCAGATATGGGAAATGCAGCCATCCCAAATTCTACTGGATATTATCTCCCAGATCTGCTTTTATGTGGACAGTGAATTGTACCTCTGGAAATTGGGGAGAGATTTTTTTCTCTCTCTTTTACTTCATACCGCCAGAGAAGCATGAGCATTCACAAAGTAAATGAGTGGGAGGGAAAATGGAGGATGAGATAATGATAATATATAATAATAAATTTTTGGTAACTGTTTTATTTTTGTATTCTAATATACTGTTATTTCGGTTTTATTCAGGAGAGAAAAAGAAGAATCACGAAAATTTGCTATGCACATGTTTGTGCACAAGCTGAATTTACGTTCCAATGTCTTCCTAAAACGAAGAAGGTTCCGTTGGATATATGTTGAAGAAATGCCATGGAGGTCTCAGTTAAACATTTACCTGTCAATTGTTCACTTCAATTTGTTTAAAAAACGGATAGAAGACCTCTATAATACTGATTTTAATTCGTTACAAAATTTGAACAGGTAAAATATAATGCAATGCAATTGTTAGTCAATGAATGTAGTGCAATAAATTTAGTTATTAGTCTCTCATGGGCTAATGTCCTGGAAGTCTGGTCTGTTACACCTTTTTCAGAAGTGTTCCATTTATTCCTCACCCTTTGTCTTCACAAGACAATATCTAGTTTACTTTAGTGCAGGGGTGTCCAACCTTTCACCTTCCCTGGGCCACATTAGAAGATGAAAATTTTTGGGGGGCTGCACATAAATTTGGTTTGGGCTGCATGGGGGGCAGCCCTAGCCATCCTCTGCAGCCCTGCTCCAAGCACACTTGCCGGCAGCTGCAATCTCAGACAGCAGAGGCTGCCAGCTTCGACTCCGGTGGCTTTATGAGGCTGGGAGGGGGTCCACCTATTGACAGGGATGGCGCAATGCAGTCATGCAGCCCCCCTTGACCCTCCCCTCCCGCTCCTTCCTTCCTTCCCTCTCTCCCCCCTACCGTTGTGACGTGCCCTGGCCACATTCCCACCGCAAGCGCTGGCAGTGTAACTTGAAACTTTGGAATTTCTTTAAAAATAAAAAATTGCACTGGGCCGCATTATGAACCAACCTGGGCCAAATGCGGCCCACAGGCTGCAGGTTGGTCAAGCCTGCTTTAGTGGAAGATATGATACACACTTGAGTAGACTGATCTCATTCTTCCTGTGATGCCTTTTTCTTGTTCAAAATGGCTTTTTGCTTATCTAACACTGTAACTTGCTCAAGAAAGGAAAATCAGCAAGAGTTCTTTCCTATTGTACTTCTTAATTACCCCTTCTTGAAATTAATATGCAAATGGAAAGGCCTGAACAGGAAAAAAGAAACAAGTAGGTGCTTCAGTGCTTTACAGCAGTAGTCCCCAACCTTGGGCCTCCAGATGTTCTTGAACTACAACTCCCAGAAGCCTTCACCACCACTTCTGCTGGCCAGGATTTCTGGGAGTTAAAAGTCCATGAACATCTGCAGGCCCAAGGTTGGGGACCACTGTTTTACAGTTTATTTTCATAGATAGGACTGTCTTAACATACCATTTCATTTACACTGTTTTGGTACTTGGTATGGTTTGGACTGTGCCCTAGATCTGAAGGGTTCAAGGATCTCTAGGTGGTTTGACTTCTGAATCTTTCCACATTTGTTTCAACTTGCAAATATATATTACTTTAATTCTTTTATTATGTTTCTTTGAACTTGGCAAATGCTTCAGAAAACAAATGCATTCAGTAAGTGAAATAGTTACACTGGTAAACAAAACTAGAACCAGTACCGTGTTTCCCCAAAAATAAGCCCTACCCTGAAAATAAGCCCTAGTATGATTTTTTAAATATAAGCCCTACCCGGAAATTAAGCCCTAGTTAAGTGAAACCCTGCCCTCCACCAGGGACTCACTGGGATCTTCCCAAGCCTTCAAGAGAGACTTAAAACTTCTTCCCCTCCTCTCCTACTTCCCTCGCTGGCAGAGGGGCTGGACAACCAGGGAGGAAGGAGCTGCTCACTGCCAGGGGCTCTTTGGCTCCTAAGTTCCCAACGGCTCTTGCGGCTCGG